GGGGGGGGGGTTGGCGAAACCTGCGTTTGGGGAGTGGTGGGGGGGGGTGCGATCGACTGATCCGTTGAGATCTGCTTTGCTTCCCAAACGCCAGGTTGCACGAAGGCAGTGGTTACGCCTCGGATGGTGGAGGGTGGGGGGGGCGGTCATGGGCACTTTAATCACAGTTGTCAGTCATATGGGGACAAAGTGAGTGTAGTGTAGCAGGGGAGGGCCACTTAACCTTCACTGGACGGGCGCGCGCGACCGCTCGATCTTCAAACCTTCACAACCTTTGGAAGACGAGACGCCCGCTTTAGTGTCAAAAATAGGTGTTTCGTTAAGATCAATGCTTGTTATTGTGCGGGTCAGTGACTTTGACAAAAAAACTGGAGACACAAAATAAAAGTCTCCCTGGCGTGTGCACACTGATTCGTTCAGGGCCACAATAGGGATGCAATGGAAGTATCGGGGAAGAAACTTAGTAGTTTGTAAAATGGCAAGGAAACCCTTGCCGATGTCTCCACGAAGAGGCGCTTGACTTGGGGGTGGTCACCCCGTTTTGGGGAGCGGTGGCGCAGTGGTTAGCGCGCCGCACTACGAACCCGGCCATCCGAGCTCGATTCCTGCTCACCGCCAACAACAGTTGCAGCGAATATCTAAATTGGTCCTGGGCCTCCCCTAGGTCTACTCAACCTGAAATGAGTTCATGTTGTGCTGTGTGCAAAACATCAGCACACCCACCCCCTCACGTGACTTGGCGGCCTCCTTCATCGGTGTTCGCTCACCAGCACTTGACCCAAAAAGTCTGTTAGAGGCTACACGGGGGGTCTTTGTCTTTGTCGGTCGGAGGAGAGAGTAGGTCACTAAAACACCTTTGGGAGTGGCACTTCGGCGCCGTCGACCAAAGGGGATGAGTCTAAAGGCCAAGACGGTGGTGGCGATGAGGAGGGAAGGGCATAGGTTAAAAAACGAAAAACGAAGCTATTTTTTTATTTTCGATTTAAAGCTTTCGTGACTGCAGGGATTCATCTTCTTGGTTCTTTCGATAAAGTCACGTAGAAGGGAAATAATAAAATAATAAAAAGAAAACATAATAAAATAATTCTCACGACGTTTCGGCCACAACACAAGCAGCCGTCCTCAGGTGAAGAACAGGTCTGTCGAAAAGACAGCGTCTGAATGAAACACCACCAGGCTTGGAGCGTATATTTAAGCTAAGTAAGGCCCACTGAGCTATGAAGCTCTCTTTTTCACAAGCGACCTGGCCACAAATGTGAGCCCAACGAAGTGGCAGATCACGTGGCAATGCATGGCAGCCACATAACTCTAAACGACAGCGTGCTTCAGCCGCACCGAACCTCACAAAAATAATATTCAGGGCCTACCTTGGCTCTTCCCACCCTCAACCAGTATATGTACAAATACTGTGTTTTTGGAATTTCTCTCACTTGATACAACTATCGTGCTGACAGTTCCACCTGAAGACGGAAGCCTGTGTTGCCTCCGAAACGTCGTGATTTTTATTTTATTTTACTTTTATTAATTTAAATTTTTTACCTACGTGACTTTACCGAAAAAACCCAAGAATATCTAAACGAGGGGTTGATTCTGAATGTGGAGGGAACAAAACATGAGGACCCGGAGAGAAATCCACGCACTCACGGAGAGAGAGAGACACTTCAAATGTTGAGGCGTCGGGGTCGGGCTCGAACTCACGACCCTTCGTGCATGCCATGCGAGCGCGATAACATCTCGCCACCGTTGGAAGGTCAGATGTTGCCCCCTTGCAACATATGGGATCCATACTCTTTGGTTATTTCGGTAAAGTCACGTAGGTATAAAATAAAATAAATCACGACGTTTCGGGTGCAACACAAGCGTCCGTCATCAGGTGGGAAAGCATGGTCTGCTGCTGAGGCAGACTGTTTAAAAAAGTTTGAAATGAAGCGATGTCGAAGAGCGGTGGAAATGAAGCAGCATTGGCCCGCGTGTTGGACTTCTCGACCGCCGTCACCTGTTCTTTTTTTATTCCAACGGCGCAACGACAGAAAACGTCCTCGCAACAACAACAACAACAAACAAAAACAATATGGGTGTCGCAATATGGGTGTCGTGCATCCACGCCAACGCACCCGTCAACACTTTCGGTAACCTTAGCGGCACCCATGGACGCATTGCGCAAGAGGGCGACAGCCGCAGCTACTCCAGAACGTTCCGTGGTTGTGCCCCGCGTGCACCCCCCCCCCCCCGCAGTTACTCCGTGGCTCTCGAGCCATCACTCCCCTCTCCTCCCCACCCCTCCCAAGGCGTGTCACCACCAGCAAGAGCTGTCCACGCAAAAAAAAACACGTGATTAAAATTCCACGCGATGCCCACCACTGACGACGCAGCTAATGCCGGACAGCGGGCGCGCGCGTCAGAGAGCAAACACGTGGCACCTTTTTGAGCGACGCATTTTCGAACAGCGTTCAACAACATGACGGGTGCATCTTCTTGGTTCTTTCGGTAAAGGCACGTAGAATGGAAACAATAAAAATAATAAAATAAAACAATAAAATAATTCTCCCCGACAGACCTGGTCTTCACCTGATGACGGCTGCTTGCGTTGTGGCCGAAACGTCGTGAGAATTATTGAATGTTTTATTTTATTATTTTTATTGTTTCCATTCTACGTGACTTTACCGAAAGAACCAAGAAGATGAATCCCTGCAGTCACGAAAGCTTTAAATCGAAATTAACATGACGGGTGTTTTGTGGCCCTGGTGGGCCGTAGTTGGGGGCCCTGAGTAGAAATTATATTTGAGGGATGCCCCCCCCCCCACCATTCCACCCTATCCCCTTTCATGTTCTGAAATGACAGCACGGAGAGATGCAGACAAGATGAGGTTAATTGGCTGTTTAATCTTAATTACCTCGTTGTGTTGATTAGATTAAGATTGAAAACTAATTTGGTTAGAACTGTTTTTTTGTGTGTGTTTGGTTTGACCTACCCCCCACACCTCAGATTCGCACGGTTGGCTCCGTACGGTGCGAAATAAGTTCAACATACGTACATATATTAGGATTTGAATTCGAGTTGATAGTTGGTGCACTTTTTTTTATGAATTTAGAGCCAGTAGTAGTAATAGGTTTTTACCCTTTTAACTGGTACAAAATCTGACACCTTTATTCAAGGCATCATGTTTGCAAGAACCTCAACACAAGAAGTCCAAAATGCAAACAAAAAGAAACAACTCTGATGATGATAATGATATGCACTGTCCTTGAAGTTGATTGGTCCACACACGAGACAGCTTTCTTTAGAGCCTAGTCTCCATTGGTGTTGGACCAGATGACGCCAAAAAAGGGTAAAAACCTATTATTATATTTTGCCACTGTTAAAGAAGATCTCATAATTTAGAGCCACTTTAGCTGTTTGGGGCTCGGGTTTTCTTTCTGTTATAGGGCGAGCTGACATCGCCTCATCAGCGATGTGGTCAAGCCAAGCCACGAGGCAGCTCACTGCCCTGCAAGCAATGAAGTTGCCTTACATTGTATTCCAAACTGGCAATTACCAGGTTGCAATCACCACCTCCGCGAATCTGAAAATAAAATAATTGCCCGAACAGGCAGTGGGAACACATCGGGAGCCTGTGGGCCTCTGCGTGACCCTATGGGTCAGTGTGTGTGAACCGATGTCTGCTCCGGGCATTCTCCAAGGGCAGGAGTGGGATTACCTCGTGCCCGGAAGCCAACAACCCTCGATCTTGAGTTATCGTTGCTACCCAATGTATATCCAACACCGAAACAAGGGCAGGCTGCTATGGCGATGCGATTCAACATCGCACAACATTCAGCCCAAAATAATGTTTGCCTCGGGTTGCGCGCCACTAAAAAACAAGCCAGACTTGCTTCGAACAATTTACTGAAGCTGTTGGTTTTTGCAGCTCACTAACAGGTATCTCTAATACAATACACAGTCAAAAAAATACTTGGGATGACAAAAAAAATATCCCTGCTAGGTCCAGTTTACATTTTTTTTACACCAAACTTCAGAAATGTTAAATTTCGATTTAAAGCTTTCGTGACTGCAGGGATTCATCTTCTTGGTTCTTTCGGTAAAGTCACGTAGAAGGGAAATAATAAAATACAAATAAAACAATAAAATCATTCTCACGACGTTTCGGCCACAACGCAAGCAGACGGATGGCGTGGCTTTACCGAAAGAACCAAGAAGTTTCAGAAATGTTCTGCGTTTCTCAACAGCTGTGGCATTTACATTTTTTTTAACCTAGGAAACCCTTTCACGAGGGTTAAAGCACTTAGCTTTGAAGACACGTTTCACTGTGACACTTCTATTCACTGCTGCTTTTTTTTACATAGCAGACACCAGTGGGCCAAGTGATAACAGGTGAGAGCACGGAGACAAGTCTGTCTTGCGTTTACCCAGGTCTGCTAAAATAGGGCTTCTAAATTATGCCTAAATTATAAACACCTGACGGATCCATTCTCATGACAAGTGTTTGGCATATTACGGCGAAAATGTGCCACGTCTCCATTGCCAACAGCAGGGTAAATCTTAATCCATTTTATTTTACCAAGTTTGGAATCTGGCACAATCCGTTTATTTAATTTAGGACCCTTTAAATCGCTCCCACCGACGACGCCCTCCCCACATTATGTACGTCAGGAGTTTGACGAGCATCCATCATCACCACGATGGACAAGGCAGGTTGGTGAAGGGTGAGGAATCTAGGTTTGATTCCAATGAGATAGTTTGAGTAAACGGTAAATATAGGGATGGAGTGGTAAGTGGCCAGCACTGTTCTCAACCCGGCAACCAGCCATGGATATCAGTAGTGTGATATCCAAATCGGTCCTGGGCTTCACTTTACTTGCAATCACTGACCAGGATGGTGAAGTATGATCAAAACAGATAGCATGACGGGCAGTGGGGGGCAGTGGGGGAGGCCTTCATCCAGCTATAGTAATGTATAGTTTAAGAATTAAAATTACAATAAAAACACAATAAAACGACCGACAATTAAAAATATCTTTATTTGTACAATGCAGTATACACAGAAGTATTGTTTTCGTCTCAATCCATACATGCTTTCATCCCAAAACACTTCAGGTACATTTAATAAGTTGAACTAAGCAATTTAAATATCAGTTATAACAATGTATTGATACCATTGTGAAATACACCAATAAAAAAAATGAATGAGTTTTAAAACATGTTTATACATACCACAGTATATCTACTCAAAGAAGTCGCCACAGATCGCCATTATATAAAAATAAATGTTTTCATCAACTCTCATTACCCACAATTATTTTAATACTGCACACTATAATATTCTTATATTAATACATAATTGAACATGAAGAGATTACATCGGTTGCTTGAATTTTGGAAGCTCGTTAAAATTAACAATTATTCATTTAGGAAAGAGAATCTAAACGTGACCCTTTGCAATGAATGGCCAAAGGCAGAAAAAAGGCATCCGAAAATGGCGTTTTACCCACGCGGTTCTGTCAAACGGCGTGGCAGCAACAACAAAAACCACACATCCAAACAATTCAACACCAAATGGCATACATTGTGGAAGTTAGGCATGTCTCGACAGCGAATGGTTCCAGATGTTTAGACTACAGGTAAGCTCTGCCAAGTTTCCCCCCCAACTATGTCAAGGGTAAGAGCTGTACGGTTCAACAATTATGTCAATTTAAATATCTACTGGCTCCTGACCGGGTAGAGATGATCCATTTGCGCCATTCCTTCAAGTCACCTCTCCTGTGTTGTCATTCGACTTTTTCTTAAATGCTCGTCGATGTGGCACGACTATTCTTTTAGGCTACCGGTTTTTCATAAGTGACGTGAGAGCTGGTTGTGGTTGACTTGCAACTTTTTACCTGTGGCTCACTACTGAAAAGGGAAGTGGATCCAAGCGATGTAATATATGGTTAAATAAAAAAGGAACATGAATGGGAGAAGAGAGGCCATGGGAAATAAGAGAAGGGATAACATATTCAAATGGGACCAATAGGCCAAGAAATTATATTATTAGTAAGCCATTAGAGCTATGCACTTTTAAATCTAGATTGAAAAAAACCGCATTTATTTTAGAACTGCTTGGTGTTTAGTTTGTAGTCCTTCCCTTACACCTCCGATGAGCACGGTTGGCTACGTACTGTGCAAACGAAGTTCAACATGCATACAGGATAGAGGAACTCAATGTTGCACGGAGCAGTTTCTGTTTCCACAGGGGATGGGGAAAGGGGGGAGAGATTCTAAGTGGAAGGGTAGCCACACAGAGAAGTCGGGTGATTCACAGGAGGCTTGAGCTGATTTCGATGTACCGAATGGGTCTGTCGTTAGGTGGAATAAGATGCTGGGAATATTGTGCCTGTCGACTTATCCATATGCCTCATTGGACTCCAGTTGCTTGGTCGTCCAAGTCTTAGGCCGTTTCGTTTTAGAGGCTATATTACATAGAGCGACTGCTCTGCATGTGAGAGGAAGGGAAATGTTGTACAATTTATACAATATTTAAAAACGCACATTGGGTTTTATCCACACGTTAGGTGAACTTTTTTTTCAGCGAATTAATAATGCTAATGCTTTTCTGGCATGGCATTTCTTTTGGATGCATTACAAAAAATACATTTTGCGCACTCTAAAATTGTCAGCTGTTATAAGTTAAAATAAAAAAAAACCTCATCATCTGGTTAAAACTTTACCTTGAAAAGCGATGAAAAATTTCAAAACCACACATTGTATATCTATTAAACTATTTTGCAACGTGGAATTCCCAATAATTAAAAACAAAGTTTATGGGCAGTTGCTGCAGCGCTTATTTTTAATAGCATACACACCCTGGTGAAAATTTATTTAATAAAATCAAGTTCCTTCATTAAGAACAGTACAAGTTACAATAATTCTCGACCGTTTCTCCAGTTCCAAAATGCCTCTTGCTTGAAAGGTTAACTGTATTTCAAATTTACATCTATTCAGTCCAAGCCAGACTTTGCCAACTTTTCATTCTGACAACTCATGGCTGTTCATGTTGCACACCACTCGATGCCATTATAACTTAAAAACGAAAAGATATATTTTTTTTTACAAACATGCCCCTTAAATACATATTGCATTCATTGTCCACACGCGATGGTTCCTCGTGTCTGAAAGGGGCCCATCATCTTCAAGGCCCGCCTTGGTAGTTATAGCGCGTTCCTACAGCCTGTCAAAACAACAGCATGGAGCAGCAGGGCGCACAAAATTAGCGCAAATTTAAACAATCCATAAAAGTGATATTTCACAACATCCATATTTTAGTTTAAGCATATTTTAAAAAAAATATCATTCAGAACCTTTTCCAAGTATAAATGCCCGTGTTATTAGTAGGCATGTGACAATTCACTCCATAGGCAAATCAGTATTGTTTTCAGTTGTATTTGTATCGTTTAATTTTTCTCCCACATTTGTACAGTCGTTTGCACCATTAGCCTAAATATAGTAGCTCACACGTCTGCACATAAATTGCAAATAGATCCACACAGGGACATTTTCAATACATGTATTGAGAGTGTAAAAATATATATCATAACGACGAATTGATGCACGATTAAATTCCTCGTGTTAAGCCACCACAGATCCCTTTGGGCCAGACTGTAGTAGCATTTTTTATAGCCAACTTTTGATATCTGGACAGGTGACTTATACTATTGCATAAGCATGTAGAGTATTTTGATGTGACGGCACATGAGCATGTGTCCTTGTGTGGTCAACCACTTACATCATATCCTTCCCCGAATTTAAATTGGTTTGGCTTGAAGTCGTAGGAAGTCAGCTTTGGTAATTTTAGGTGACCTTTTGCACCCTGAGAAAAAAAACACAAGATCGTAATAAGTTAGGACAATCCGCACAGCACGCAAGATTAATAAGTAAAGTTTTTCAGTTCTGCAATTGCTTGCTCATTCCACTGCTGGCAAGCACTTTCTAAATCTGTCGCAAATTACATCACAACTGGTCCTACCCTCTACATCAAACCGCATTGACCAGGATGGTGAAGTATGGTCAACTCCATGAGCAACATGGTGGGGGGGGGGGGGTATATGCTTTCATCCACTGTGGATCGAGAATGGGATTCATTTATTTATTATACCCCACTTCACCAAGTGGTGGCTCTTATTTTTTCAGCAATTATCAGATTCGAGGCCGTGTCAACAACAGTTATTATCTCAGCAGCAATTATCATTTAATGCCCGACTCCCAACATAAAAGCTTAAAGCTGACCAACGGCCACTCACTCCGGGTGTATTGATAGCAAACATTGAAGTTCACTCCGAGCTCTGTACAAACACCGGGTTTCTACATTTCATTTCCTCTAATACCTCGCGACTAAAAAAATAAAGCATACGTTGGGACGAACGCCCACAGCTGAACTACAGCTTGATGGGTTGGGAGTGCATTGTGTGTGTACAGTTCATGCGTGCAGTTTGCAAATGTGAGATTACTGCAACACTGGAGGACACCGTCACTGCAAGGTTAGGGCAGAACACATTCATTGTTCTGTCCCGCACTTGCACATCACACGTAATGGCTAACGAATCAGCAAGAACCACTAAGCCCCAAGTCTAGTCTGAATGGCATGGTGAATGCATGCACACATGCCTGGCTTTGTAAGCTCTTAAGATCTTATTATGTTCTCTCAGAAGCTGGTATATGACAAAGTCCTTAGAAGGGAGTTCTCTTGATAAAAAAAGACATGGGAACCGACTGCTTTCCTGGTCCGTTGTTTTCAAACGTTGTAGACCTGGGAAATCCAACTGCTGGATTAAAGGCTCTCCCATGTCGTATCATCGGAGGGGGTAGTTTGACCATACTTCACCACGGTGGTCAGTGCGGGTTGGGTGAAACAAGGCAGAGCGCACCAATATAGATATTACCCGCCATCGATTAGCCGTGGCTGGGACTCAAACTCAGGCGGCGGGGTTAAAACTACTGCATGGCCACATTCTCGTGTGTGTGCAAGAACCCATGGCTCGCATGTGACCTGCAGTCCTCACGAATTCTAGTCCAAAATGGGCCAGAGGACGACCAATGGAGCCGTCGGTGGATAGCGGACCAGGTGGGGGGCTGTTCCAGCAGCATGCAAGCCAGAAGCCCCCCAAATCAGCCACTCGGGCAGCCACTCGGCAAGTGCCGGGGATAAAAAAGGTGCGAAGAGACCGAAGAGGATTGGAGAAAGGGAGAAAAGGCAGCAGGGTGTAAATATAGAACTTGGGTGGAGTTTGCAGGATGTTCGGGAAGGTTTGAGAGGGAGGGCAGAGGAGGATATAAAAAAATGGGGCGTGACGCAAACACAGGAGCTTGTGTGTAGATAACTGATTAAATGTGCGGCGGGCACGGGAAAGAGCACGTGCGGCAGAGAGCGGAGTTGCTGGACAAACTGCCTCAAGAAGATACGTGGATCTCCTTTAAATTAATAGTCTGTAGGTGGAGAAATCAACGAGTTAAGGACCATGGGGACAGCAACCTCCGTGGAAGTCGGTGAGAATGTGAGGAGGAGGCAACAGATTGCTGGTGAGCCAATTCACTGAAGCAAATTTTAGCGAGTGCTGGATCAACACATGTGGCTCTCACCAGAACGCTCAGCAGGATCAGAGCCGGAATGCCGACGATGCCGAGGATGATGATGGCGATTCCCCACGCCGGTACAGACTGGCAACGCTGGAGTTGGGGGTTGCACGACTGTGCGGTCGTTGGGGAGGCAGTAGACGGCTTGCTGATGGTTGTGGCCGTTGAGATGGCCGTTGTGGTGGCCGTTGTGGTGGTCGTTGCTGAAGAAAAACCAAACGGCACATGCACACATACATAAAACATTTCAACCATGCTCGACACACCATGTGGGTGGTTCTGCGCAGCTTTTTTTGTTGCTAACACTTAACACTGATCAGTGAATGTTGGTGAAGAATAGGGCAGAGAAGGGGAGGCCTGGATCCGATATCACTTTCCAATGATGTTAGGCGTGGCTGCAAATCGAAGGTGGGTCACCAGGCTCGTAGAGCAGTATGCCAAGCACTGTGTTTACCTTTCTGCCAGATTTAACTCGAATAATGCACGCACAAGCAACTCTTTCAAGTTACACTTGACTCGGGGAAAAAAACCCCTGCTCATTGTTACTGTTTGTTTTGTGTCATGCAATTCATTATATGCACTTACATTTTGTTTGCCATTTCTAAATTTAGAATCTCAACTGTGCTATCAATTTAGGAGATTGATATCAGAAGCTGATATTGTAGGCTCTCCAAAAGCCCTACAATTGACTTCTAGTCCCAAAGTAGAATGGCAGAAACTTGTTATCCGCTTCGCAAATTAAAGTAATGTTTGTCACGTGAAAGTACAACCTCGATTCATTCTCAGACCTGGAATCTGAACAAGGTCCAGATCTTTTTTTTTTTAAACGGGAAGGGTATTTGCATGTGCAAAGTCCCTGGGTGGCTTGGCTCAAACCTGCAAACTAAAAACTTAAGAAAAGTAAAAACCGGGAATCCCAGTAAAGCCTTGGCAACGTCAGTTGAAGGTAAGAGGACGAGGCCGTGAAATGAAAAGACGGATGCACCCATACACGGTGAAGGCCCAGCAACCTTCATAAAGAAGGGGCCTGGACGGGGGGGGGGGGGGGGGGGGGGGCAGCGAGAGATGGGGCTCGGCAAGGACTCACGTGTAACGCCATCCACGCTGCTTGCTGTAGGGTCGAGCTGCAGTTTACTATCACCAGGCAAGAATATGTTGGAGGTCAGCTCGGACAACGCAATCTTTGCGTCGGGTGCCGTGTTTGCATACGCAGCTGTTGAGTCGACTAACACAGAGCCAGGCCTGCAACAGGGAACACACGAGCGTGAATAATCAACAACGGCAGTCTCTTTGCTTCAGGAGATTCAATACACAGTTTGTTATATATCCCCAGTAGATGGGGACCAAATTTCAGATTCCAAAGAACACAGGATGAGATGTTACTATCCTTTGTGCAAGCACTTCCAAGAGTTCATGAACAGTGAGCCTGGTGAAATTTGGGGAGCGCATCGTCAGTAGTGACCCTTTGGTTCCTAGGGTGTTTCGGTCTTTCATACTATACACCCTCCCCAAAGGCGGCCAGCGACAGGGTGATCAATCCTACGCTTGCGTCCCATTCCCAATTAGTCATAGGAGTTGCCTTGTTGTTGGTAGCCAACATCCCATCAGGACTATGCATGAAAAAATTAACCCGTAAAAACAAAGTTTTTCATTATAAATCCTTTATATGCATGGCATCGGTTTTATTTTATTATTCATTTCTGTTTTTCTTGAGTAAGAGTTTCATTTTTATCACATTGGTATTTTAAATGAAATATAAGGAAAGTCGTATATAAGGATTATAAGGTTTTCAGTTTTTGTATGATTGTTTATATTGTACATTTTTGTTGTTTTCTTGAAAAATTTTCTGTGTTTCCGAAAAATATATCGGATTGTGTTAGTGAAATTTTTTTTCCCAAAAATTGGAAAATTTTGGAAATTTTTTTTCACAAAAATAAATTGTCACGCACAACGAGTCTGTGTGCAAAATGTCAGCTCGATTGAATCATAGGAAGTGGGTTAAAAAACGACCGAAAGATTTGCACGGTCGTAAGCGCGCAAGCAAGTGAACTTAATATAAAGGATTTAAAAATGAGAAACGCCAAATGCAATGCTGGGTGTGGCCAGTTAATTGGTAAGGCACGTGACATGGAGGTTGCTAAACCATACTTGCGCAAGTTAATTTTATAAAGGCGAGGACCCAAGAACAGTTGATATGCCACTTCGTCACGGATGCCATTCGTGGATGAGAATAACTCGGGTCCGATTGCATTCACAGTGCAGGTGGCTAACCATCGTGCCCTTTGTCCACCGTGTACATCACTTATGGAGATGGCCATATTGCAATATATTAACGTTGTGCTCGGCAGCCATTGGTGAACTGCACTCTTAAAAACAACTCAAAATGTTTGTTTTATTTAACCAGGCAAGGCCCACTTAACTATATAGGTCTTTTTCATAAGTGCCCTGGCCACAAATGCTAGCTCAAGTGGCTAATCATGTGGAAATTTATAGCAGCCAAATAATCTAATTGGATGCTTCTAAATGTGGACGGAAAAAACGGAGGTCCCGGGAGAAAAATCCACGTCACCACAGGGAGAACATGCAAACTCCAAATATATAGGTGTTAGGGTCGGCATCGAACCCACGACCTCCTGTATACCAGGTAAAGTAGTTAAAAAAAAAGGCATAACATTGTACTGTCCATTTAGTAGCCCTTGTTTGATTATTTATATTAACAGTTGTTTGGAAAATGATTCGTCTTACATTGTAAACCGCAGGTCGCCTGTTCATGGATAATGCAACCGCTGTTAAAAAACCTGGTCTTTTCACATCAGTCTCCAGTGAATGAGACATGCGCCATATATGCTATGGTTGTGCCCCTCCTCCAAGGGTCTAATAGGTTATTTCAACATACCTGAATTTTTTGATGAGGATGTACTGCAGGTTGTTGTGCTTTGGTTTCAGCACATCATTAATCTGTAAAACATCAAGAACTGGATGGGTCAGCAATTGAACCTCATGGCAGGACCCTGGGGCCCCGAATAAACGGAAGTAAAAAGCGTAATTAAGCAATGTATTTTTGGCGACTCCGTCCCATCGCGCACAAACGCCGCGACCCACCAGAAACCAATCCTCTCGTTCTTCACCAAGCACCCGTCGTTACCAAAATTTCCGTAGTCATGAACAAAACTTTGATTAGTGCATCATGTAGAGCTTGTCGCGAGAAATAGATTGCCGTATCGTACGCCTTCAACGGACCTAAAATGATGTTGCAACACTATTTATGCGAGAGCCGGGGGCTTATGGGACCCCGGGGTTCCGCCATTAGGTTCAATAGCAGTTTGTGGCATCCAACTACTCCCATCGCCTACGTTTGAGATGGCTGCTTAAGGTTGAATACCAGTGTTTTAGTACCAAGGGCTTCACAAAGATCCGATTGGTTAACAAAAATTACACAAATCGAGTACAGGGTACATAATATTTTAAACTATCATAAACCTTCCAGGCTCATTACATTACTGTAGTTTCATCTACAATACAGAGTATCAACATCCTGATGCTTGGAGGAAATATTTGCCTCCGATTTTTAACTGCTTTGCTTACCACTACTGGCAGACTTTCAACTAGTAGAAACTATGACCCTCCTTTTGAATGAATTTTAGCCTACTCTTCCACTCTGGCCAGACCTCTTAGACGAGGTTTGGATACTCACACTTTGCCCCACTACAAGCAACCAACTGTGGAGTTGTACTGCTGGGGAGGTTTAAGAAAAGTATTCAGCGTTTTCCAATGCAGGACACCTCCCCGACACTTAAATCTTGGCAAGGCATTTCTGAAGGCCTGTTATTATTTGAAAGAAAAAAAGTACCAGTATGCATTTTTGAATCTGCTCACCCCTTTCCAAACGTCTTTGGTGAGGTTTTTGTAGGCATCGCTGCTGATGTTGGTTAGGTCGGAAGTGAAATTCCTGTTAAGGATGCGGAGTGTAATAAACTGTGTGATATAGTTGGATGGGTTGCCTGAAAACCGCAAGGGAAAAAAATAGCAAGTGTTAGGGAAAGGTTGGTGGAAATCCGTACACATACAAAATGCTTGTCTTTAAAATGTAAATGAATTATGGTCTCAGCATTTTACATTATATATATTTATATGCAGCATTTACTGAGTATCAATGGATAAAAAAAAGGGAACAGTGGTGAAGGAATGCTACTGTGGTGCAATTGTTCGCACACTGGGATTTGTAATCCAGAGACCACCAGTTAGATTTGATCATCTGACAGGGCAGTTAAGGCAAAAACCCCAGTTAGTCGATGAGCTGGGTCAAGTGTGCGTATTCACCTTTTACAAAAGTCTGGCCATTGTGGAAGAGTAGGCCAAAAATACCGTTTTCTTATAAAAGGCCTCTCATGAAATCCCTTCTCACCAGCAGTGGTGCGGGCAACAAATTACAAGGATGCACGTTCACCCCAGTGTTAAGACTTAAATGTACTCTTATTTAAGGAGAAGCAGTTTGCGCACTGTGCGATGAACTGTGGTACATCCAATCCTATTGCTGGGTGAACAGCGGCAGATTGGGGGCAGGTTTTAAAAAAACGTGTCAATTATTTTAACTTTCGCACCAGAAATTCAAACCGGTGGCCTCTGGAACGCAAGTCAAGTGTGTCAACAAATCAAACACTATGGCAGCAACTCGTATATAAAAGTGAAGAGGAAGAAAACAACAACTATGAAAAGCATAGCTGCTCACCGGCAACAGAGAGCGTCGTTACATCCACTGTGAGACCAGACCCTCCAAAGGTCTGTTCTGGGAAGGTGGTGGCGTTTTCAATGAGGGAACGAAGTTCTGTATTGCTCACGATGGTGTCTGAACTGAAGATCACATCAGTCGAAGACAGCACCCCCGGTGGGCTGTCACTGGAGAAACAAAAAAAAGCCGCAACTTTATAATTTGGGACGAATTTTTTTTTTCACATTTCATTTAAAGTAGGCATTAATGATTAGCCCTCTTCATCATGAACTATTCAAGATGTTATATATTTTTTAACATCTAGGTTTCTACCATCTTTTATTGGTTTTGTCTATGGTCTCATGCCACGAACCCAACTGTGATCATGCATAAATCAATAATCCTTGTTTACAAGCATAATTCAAAAAAATATATCAAAAGTATAAGAATTGATTTAAAAAACAGCTACACGAACAATATAAACCCTAAAACGGAATGAGTATCTGCTTTGTCATGCATCCGTTATAGTTCCCATGCCATATGTAGAAGGGAAAGGCCTTACCAAGAACTTGGAATTGATTAGGAGAAGTGAGAAAATGGGCAGAACCCAAGCAAAGGGGCCCGAGCCCCCCCCCCCCCAAACTACTTGGATGTATTTAGCTTTCCTGTGTTCTGCTCACACCTCCGTAAATGATTAAAGGTATACGATACCATATTCCTGTTGTAATAACGTCTACCCGCTCACATTATTTACATTGGTAGCATTGACAACAGGAACCTACCTGAATGTTGTGTCCAGTAAGAGCACGTTGGGTCCATACTTTGATTGCAGAATATTTTTCAACTGAAACAAGACAATGAAAAAGACAACTCATGGTCACTCTGCAGCAGTGTCATAATTGGTGACGAGCGATATATGAACCTCATCATCTCACCACCTTCTCCATTGACCAGCATGGTGAAGTATGCCAAACAACCCCCATGACCAATAACGGCTTGATAAAATGGCAGCAAATGTATTATTTGATAAATTAGTTATCTTATAATTGACATAGCATTCATTTTCCGACCTCACACCACTGTTGGCCAAAAGACAAAATTGCTCCTCAGATTCAGTCGAGAGTGCATTTGGCCTACTCTCAAGACCTATGAACAGCGTGGAAAAGGAGGTGGGGGATACCCACACTTTACTCCACAATACAAATCACCTGCTGATCAACTGGCATTTATATTTTTTGGGTGGACGACAGGCGTGCGGATTTTGGAAACTTACCCGTTATATCAACTGCCATGCTGAGATTACAAATCCAGTATGCTCACACCATTACACTGCAGCAGCATCCCAATAACTTGGCACATTTTATTAACTATACCAATCAATTTTAGGGGTGCACTATGGAGCGAGCCACCAACCTCTCCTGCATATTTGCTGTTCAGGGCACTGTAGTCGGCGCTGGATCGGTTGGCCAGAGCGGCATTGAACGGGGTGTTGATATTCATTGCCAATGGGACAACATTGTAGGGCTTGGTACCTGGAGAAGAGACACGGGAAGACACAAATCATTATGTCATTTGCTTTGAGCAAGAGTTTGCTGAATTAAATTCTACTTGCGATTCAATTAAAGCAAGATCCTGCAGATACGCGAGGTTGAGCGTTATCCTTGTGCATCTACAGGATATCTACAGCAGCTTGGAGATGCTAAATACATTTGATTAGGTTTGGTTTTTGGGGTCCAATCGCCTCCACAAATGTCTTTGCACACTGCTGGCAAAACAATTCTGGCACTATGTAGCCGCGTGACTGCCCGTGTGTTCTACTGCTGGAGAATGAAAGTCTTTACCATCGATGGCTATGGATGAATCTTTAACGTAGACACCGGTGCTCGCCAACTGAGAGTTGTTATCAATCTTGGCACGCAGAAGGTTGAAGACGTCTACAGGTGGGATGAGGCTCGTGGTGTTGAATGACGCTATGGAGGTCACGCCGACCACACCGGAAACGTTCCTGCAGGAGAAATCCGTTTCACATTTCAGAACGATGGCTCCAGCAACTCTTATGTTTAAATGGATTTGTTAATTTCTCTCTCAATCTATATACACTCACACATAAGTAAAATACTTTAAACAGCATTTAGTTTCTTTTCTCTTTCACTAAAAAATGTACGTTTTAGGTCAAAGAATATAAAACTCACGAGAAGGTTGTCATCACCGAAACTGGTTTCACCGAATAACTGCTGAACATACTCTGCACCTGTTGGGAAAAAGATTGAGGTTCACAACAAAACGAGAGGGGGTGCATTTTAGTCATCATCGTCATTATTTACAATACAATTTTGTATTTGACAAAATATATAGGGGACACACACACGCACCTAGAAGGTTGAGGTATTTTTAAATCCTTTATATTAAGTTTGCTTGCGCGCTTACGACCGTGCAAATCTTTCGGTCGTTTTTTAACCCACTTCCCGTGATCCAATCGAGCTGACATTTTGCACAGACTCGTGCGCGACAATTTATTTTCGTGAAATTTTTTTCCCACAATTTTCCACTTTTAAGGATTTTTTTTTTCATATTTAATTTAAAATACCAATGTGATAAAAATGAAACTCACTCAAGAAAAACAGAAATGAATAATAAAATAAAACCGATGCCACACATATAACTTTTTTTTTACGGGTTAAATTTTTAACAGACCAGAGGAAGAGGAGTTGAAAAGCTACATGGCAGAAAGGAGAATGGAGACGATGTTGTGGTGGTAGACATGAGGATGAAGATGCTGCAATAGACAGCGAAAGTCATGTGCAGATGAGGAAAGTCTCAAGGAATGGACTTGAACTGGGGAAGGTCACAGAGTACAAAATGGCTCAAGGTAGAGTCCTTCCATCGGGGGAATGTTGACAAGTAAATTTGTTCAGCGAAGACCTTGATTATTGTGGCGGAAAGTGCGTCAGAGTAGAGCAAGAGAGAGGAAAGGTTGCTGGGGGCAAGCCCATGCAGATCTTAAAAAAAGGCCAATGCAATATTTTTGTTTGTGAGCAAGTGAATAGATCTGGGGCGATATAGTTTCATTTACTGTGCGGGAATTATGGATATTTTACAATGGCCCAAAAAGGCCTACTGTTCTGCGGGCAACAAAGCACACTGCGCGTCCAAAGAAAAAGCACTGGAGTGCGTTTTAGCGCAAGTTAGTTTGTGGGTGCGCCTTTACCTCTTGGTTGATCCGATTGCTGAGGTCAAGGTATTCAGGCGAGGTGGTGTCGTTCATGGACATTGGTGTAGACCTTGTTTATCGCGAGGAAGGTAGTGTTTACGTTGAGTAGTGGCAGAGTGGCAAGCGTGGCATCTGCAAGAAAATTTCAAAGTGTTAAAATCCAAGTGTAAATGCGTTCTGAATAATTACGTGCAAGATTCAATTATACAATTCTATACAGAATCATTTCTCAGCTTGGAGTTTACTTAATGCTGTTGATTAAAATAAAAGTTACAAGAATGATAATTTCTGAAAGTTATGCACATGATATATTTATTTACTATTGCAATCTTAAAAAGGAGCTCATTTTTCAAAACAGCTGTACAAATCATTATTTTAAAAATGTACAGCACATTATAGTAGACATGTGCCCGACGTAGCAAGAAAATGGGCTTGAGCAGGCCATAGCAAGAAGGGATGATGGCTCATTGACAAGGGGAGGAGGACCATTGTGGTGATGAGATCAGCGCATGTGCAGTAATTGCATAAACATGTGGGATTGCAGGGAGGGTTTGTCCAGTACGGGATAGACAATAGCTGATGACAATGTACATAAATGAGGAAATATTTCTAAGGAATGTGGAACAAAAAATTGGCAGCATTTACCCCCCCCCCCCCCAATTGCAACAAAACTTAAACAATATATGCAACAAATTGCATGCCAAGATGATATCACCAATGTTCCACACATTCGGCAGTCAATTTGAGCGAGCAATGAAAAAACTGAATGCAAACAAAATGTGGCCAACATATCACGGGTTTCAACTTTAGCTGCACAAAGTGCTCGAATAAAAAAATGCATGTCTGCCTTACTTTTGCAGAAATTATTAGGACAAAGATTCTACAGCAATGTCTTACAAGACAGGGTAGATAGCCAAGATGGAGAAAGCTTGCGATGGGTGTGGTCACATGGGTCAGGATGATGGTTCAAGGTGGAAAAAGTGGGGGGGGGGGGGGGGGGGGGGGGGGGGGAGTTGTGGAATTTTCGAAATCTCTACCAACAAGGCACGTTCCAATGTCAAATGTCCCCTCTGGCACAGACTCTTAAAAATGGGCTTCTCTATTGCCCTTTGCGCTTCTTTTAAAATGTGGTTTAAACTCAACTGGGTGGAACAATTATAGGTTTAATTCCTACGTATAAAAGTGTACATTACCCTCACCTTTATATATTAACTAAATCTGCTTTCAGGTTCCACGCATTATAAAAATGTACGTAAAGGAAAGTTACCACCAAGAAACTTATGGAAAAAAATGGCCTTTTGGAATTTCATGGCTGGCTCTACTACAGGTGGACCAGCAACGGCACAGTAATTTTACACATGGATCCAAAACATAAAATACACGCTTAACCACCGAAAAGAGAGAGGACCATAGTTTGAGAGAGATCATTTGAATTAGCCATTTTTGAAAACGGTCGGAATGGTGGAATATTTGGGATGGAGAAATGTTTGTATGATAAAAGAAAAGTTGAGTCTTTACCAGACACGTTAATTGAGCTGGCTGATAGCTGCAGTGGTGTATTTGGAATTGTATCATTTGGAGCCAAACCGCTCACAAAGGCCCTCAGCACATTTTCCTTCACTGGTGGGCTGTCGTTCACAAATATTGCTTCAGCATCAACGTTGACTGAACCAGTCCTGTGGAGAAAGCAAAATCAAGCAGGTTGAAGGTTTGATGTGTTGCTTACATTAAAACCCATGGTAGCTCCGTGGCAGACAGAATGGCTCTCGCCATTGGAAAGTTCAGTCAAAATCTTGGTTGGCAGACAGGGTGCCGACCCTTAGGCAATTATTACCGATGAACGACCGTTTCAGTGAAATCTGATGTTGAAGTTTGAGGAGAGATTTTCTTCATAAACAAAAAAAAACAAAAAACAAAATCGGATAACCGATTCTGATATATTACGAATGAAAATAGCCCCTAAAAGGCTTCAGTACAAAATAAAAAAAAAATCCCATTATATAGTTGGGCATCATGGTTAATTAAATATGAACCCCAACCCTAAATGCATCTCCACAGCAATAAAATAAGATTGTACAATAGCCTATGACCTTTCCAGACAAAAGTATTATCCACCAAAACTTGCTTGCATAAGCACGTAACATCTTTGACCTTCGGTGGCTCATCAGCAGAAGTTATCCATTATTCTTCATGCGTTGACTAAGGCCGTAGTTTATATGGAATGCTCTTTGCTAATAAACACCTGGCAACCTATCCGTACTTAAAAAACAAGCTCGAGTCTGCTGATGAGACTGTGGGGCAAAATTGGCCATACTGGTTGCTTTGGTTAAACAGATGTTTCTGATAATATTTGGCCTGGAAAGCCTCTGGACATTTTGTTTTCTTAAATATGGCTCAACTTTGCAGACAACATAAGTGAAAAATAAATTGCAACAAGTCTACGGAACAAAAATCTTACCAGAAGCGCAAGATATGGGTCTTGCTGAACTTTGATCCGTACTTTTTTCTGAAAATTTGATCAAGCTAAACATACACAAAAAGACAAAATATGACAGTGTCATGGTTATAATTTTCTTATTATCTGGCAGTAGTCTAAACAAGTTCAGGTAAAATTAAATCATTGAAAAAAACCCACGTTTTTTGGGTTTGATCATGAAAATGTGTCACACATCCACCTTCATCCGACAGCCAGTTAAGTAAGGCTGTCCATCGACTTCAACATTTGCCTGATGATGGTTGTAATTTACAGCAAAACACCACTCAATTGCAAATGTTGTGGGTTTGGTCTCTAACACACCAGTGTGCTGAAGTAGTAACTAATTGGCACATTTTGTTCGTGTGAAAAAACGTATTAGCTGCATTAGGTGGCTGTATGACAGATATACATTTATGCAACCCAGTCCAAAAATCTTTTTCATAAATAAAATGCAAGTACCGGTGTGTTCGGCATGATGTGCATTGTTTTAGACCACGTTCTGGGAGCTTCAGGAACTCAACCCAATTTAGTTCAACCGAATTCGGTTCCTCCAATTTCCAAGCATGTGGAGCAGACAACTTCTGACATCCTGAACATGTGGTATAACCACAAAAGAGGGAGCGCGATGGCACACGACTGAAAAGCTACGTAGTATAAACAGTCAAAAGTTTTTTTTCCTTTTGGTTTACCTGTAGCACAATGTCGTCTTCAAGGCTTTTGTAAGCTGGACTTGTGTTGTTGGCCAGCTCGGCTGTAAAGTCTTTATTGACAATCTTAAAAAATACAGAGTATGCTACGTTTGGCCCGACGGTTGGAGTTTTTACTGTGGTCGCCGTGCTTGTACTGTTTGTTGGCGGAACTGCCGTGGCGTTCACCGTGGCGTTTGTTGGCGGAACTGCCGTGGCGTTCACCGTGGCGTTTGTTGGCGGAACTGCCGTGGCGTTCACCGTGGCGTTTGTTGGCGGAACTGCCGTGGCGTTCACCGTGGCGTTTGTTGGCGGAACTGCCGTGGCGTTCACCGTGGCGTTTGTTGGCGGAACTGCCGTGGCGTTCACCGTGGCGTTTGTTGGCGGAACTGCCGCCCCGTGGCGTTCGAACCCGTGGCGTTCCGGCGTGTTGGCGGAACTGCCGTGGCGTTCACCGTGGCGTTTGTTGGCGGAACTGCCGTGGCGTTCACCGTGGCGTTTGTTGGCGGAACTGCCGTGGCGTTCACCGTGGCGTTTGTTGGCGGAACTGCCGTGCCGTTCACCGTGGCGTTTGTTGGCGGAACTGCCGTGCCGTTCACCGTGGCGTTTGTTGGCGGAACTGCCGTGCCGTTCACCGTGGCGTTTGTTGGCGGAACTGCCGTGCCGTTCACCGTGGCGTTTGTTGGCGGAACTGCCGTGCCGTTCACCGTGGCGTTTGTTGGCGGAACTGCCGTGCCGTTCACCGTGGCGTTTGTTGGCGGAACTGCCGTGCCGTTCACCGTGGCGTTTGTTGGCGGAACTGCCGTGCCGTTCACCGTGGCGTTTGTTGGCGGAACTGCCGTGCCGTTCACCGTGGCGTTTGTTGGCGGAACTGCAGTGCCGTTCACCGTGGCGTTTGTTGGCGGAACTGCAGTGCCGTTCACCGTGGCGTTTGTTGGTGGAACTGCAGTGCCGTTCACCGTGGCGTTTGTTGGTGGAACTGCCGTGCCGTTCACCGTGGCGTTGTTGGTGGAACTGCCGTGCCGTTCACCGTGGCGTTTGTTGGCGGAACTGCCGTGCCGTTCACCGTGGCGTTTGTTGGCGGAACTGCCGTGCCGTTCACCGTGGCGTTTGTTGGCGGAACTGCCGTGCCGTTCACCGTGGCGTTTGTTGGTGGAACTGCCGTGCCGTTCACCGTGGCATTTGTTGGCGGAACTGCCGTGCCGTTCACCGTGGCATTTGTTGGCGGAACTGCCGTGCCGTTCACCACCGTGGCATTTGTTGGCGGAACTGCCGTGCCGTTCACCGTGGCGTTTGTTGGCGGAGCGGCCGTGCCGTTCAACGTGGCATTTGTTGGCGGAACTGCCGTGGCGTTCACCGTGGCGTTTGTTGGCGGAACTGCCGTGCCGTTCAACGTGGCATTTGTTGGCGGAACTGCCGTGCCGTTCACCGTGGCGTTTGTTGGCAGAGTGGCCGTGCCGTTCACCGTGGCGTTTGTTGGCGGAGCGGCCGTGCCGTTCACCGTGGCGTTTGTTGGCGGGATGGCCGTGGCGTTCACCGTGGCGTTTGTTGAAGGAGCGGCCGTGGCGTTCACCGTGGCGTTTGTTGGCGGGACGGCCGTGGCGTTCACCGTGGCGTTTGTTGAAGGAGCGACCGTGCCGTTCACCGTGGCGTTTGTTGGCGGGACAGCCGTGGCGTTCACCGTGGCGTTTGTTGGCGGGACGGCCGTGGCATTCACCGTGGCGTTTGTTGGCGGGACGGCCGTGGCGTTCACCGTGGCGTTTATTGGCGGAGCGGCCGTGGCGTTCGCAGTGGCATTTGTTGGCGGAGCAGCCGTGGCGTTTGTTGATGTTAGAGGAATGGCTGTGGCGTTCGCCGTTGCGTTTGCCGATGGAGAAGTGGCTGTCGTATTTGCCATTGCTACAGTGGTAGGGGCAGTTGTTGCTGGAATAATAACATAAACACGAAATATTAATAACTAGCGGGAAGTACCCGGGAGGAAAATATATTTCTAAAAAAACATAACATATACAAATACTAAGCTATTGTGAAAGCCCGGCATGCCGTTTGTCTGTCAATCAACAAGAAGTCCAAAAAGCTATAGAAAGTGGGGTGTAAATAGATGATCTTAAAGGTTTCCGAAAATTGTCGACCCTCCCCACCCCTCAAAAAATATTTTTACCCCACAATTACGCATATATACCTAAATACCCTATATACCATAGAGTGAGTAGAATCTAGGGACTATAGTAGTATCTCTAGACTCTGTAGTTTTATCTATTGACTGTACAGTAGTATTTACGGAGACCAGTCGTAGCTACCAACTGTATATAGTAGTAACTACTGACCCTGCAGTAGTATCTACTCACTATAGTCGTTACTACGCACTCTGCAGCAGTATATACTTTGTGTTATTTTAGTCTTACGCTATATCGGATTGATTGTTTATGTGGCAGATGCTATATTGGACAGACAGGATGTAACATCAGCCCAAGACTAAAAGAACAAATAAATATTAAATTACCTCAAACACAACTGTCGGCAGTGGCAGAACATGCTTGCCAACAAGGACACTCAATTGATTTTGATAACGTTGAAGTGTTGTGTAAAACTAATTACTGGCAAAGACTAATTAGAGAATTAATTGAAATTTAGAGAAATAGAAATAACTTTAATCGCTCCGACAGCTACAGGCTTCGTGCAGCCTGGAAGCATATTATTAAATACATATTTCAATTCCTTATTGGGGAAACATACTAAGTGACTGATTACTAACAAAGTATATAATCACAATAACACACATTACAACTAATTACTAATCACAGCTTATTACTAATCATAATAATTAACCGATTACTAATCTATTATATAACCTCCCCCCCCCCTCACCTTTAAGTTCTGCACTTGAGTGGTTATAGTAATTGGGTTTAGTTATTAAATAACACACATTACAACTAATTACTAATTGACAATTCATTACTAATCATAACAATTGACCGATTATTCATCCATTATATAATTACAATACAATTATTTCATAGGTAAGATATAAAAAACATTTAACTTTCATAAAAAGGGGCCTGGACGGGGGGGGGGCAGCGAGAGATGGGGCTCGGCGAGGACTCACGTGTAACGCCATCCACGCTGCTTGCTGCAGGGTCGAGCTGCAGGTTACCACCACCAGGCAAGAATATGTTGGAGGTCAGCTCGGACAGAGCAATATTTGCGTCGGGTGCCGTGTTTGCATACGCAGCTGTTGACTCGACTATCACGGAGCCAGGCCTGCAACAGGGAACACACGAGCGTAAATAATCAAGAACGGCAGCCTCTTTGCTTCAGGAGATTCAGTACACAGTACGTTACATATCCCCAGTGGCTAGGGGCCAAGTCATAAGCTGATGTGAACATGCATTGAAATATAAAGTACATCAAATGCTATGCTGGGTGTGGCCAGTTAATTGGCAAGACATGCGACATGGAGGTTGCTTAAACATATTTGCGCAAGTTGATTTTATAAAGGTGAGGCCCCAAGAACGGTTGATATGCCACTTCGTCACGGATGCCATCCGTGGATGAGAAAAACTCGGGTCCCATTGCAAGTGGCTAACCATTGTGCCCTTTGTCCACCGTGTACATCACTTATGGAGATGACCATATTGCAATTTATTAGCGTTGTGCTCGGCATCCATTGTTGAAGTGCACTCTTAAAAAATAACTCAAATGTTTTTTTAATTTTACCAGGCAAGGCCCACTGAACTATATGTTTTTTCAAAAGCGACCTGGCCACAAATGATAGCTCAACTCAGTGGCTAATCATGTGGAAATTAATAGCAGCCAAATAATCCAATTAGATGCTTCTAAAATGTGGATGGGAAAAATTACGGAGGCCCCGGAAAAAAATCTACGTCACAACAGGGAGAACATGCAAACTCCAAATATATAGGTGTCAGGGTTGGCATCGAACCCACAACTTCCTGTTTACAAGGCAAAGTAGTTGGCATCTCGCCACCGTGGCACCCCCTTGTAGAAATTTAAAATGCAGAACTATTCTCAATGAAGGCATAACATTGTACTGTCCATTTAGTAGCCTTTGTTTGATTATTTTAACCAGTTGTTTGGAAAAGGATTCGTCGTACATTGTAAACCACAGGTCGCCTGTTCATGGATAATGCAACCGCTGTTTAAAAACCTGGTCTTTTCACATCCATCTACATCAGTCTCCAGCGAATGGGACATGTGCCGTAAATAAATGTTATGGTTGTGCCCCTCCTCCAAGGGTCTAATAGGTTATTTCAACATACCTGAATTTTTTGATGAGGATGTACTGCAGGTTGTTGTGCTTTGGTTTCAGCACATCATTAATCTGCAAAACATCAAGAACGGATGGGTCAGCAATTGAACCTCATGGCAGGACCCTGGGGCCCCGAATAAACGGAAGTAAAAAGCTTATTTAATCAATGTATTTTTGGCGACTCCGTCCCATCGCACACAAACGCCGCGACCCACCAGAAACCAATCCTCTCGTTCTTCACCAAGCACCCGTCGTTACCAAAATTGCCGTAGTCATGAACAAAACTTTGATTGGTGCATCATGTAGAGCTTGTCGCGAGGAATGGATTGCCGTATCGTACGCCTTTAACGGACCTAAAATGATGTTGCAAAGCAGTTTATGCGAGAGCCGGGGGCTTATGGGACCCCGGGGTCCCGCCATTAGGTTCAATAGCAGATTGTGGCATCCAACTACTCCCATCGCCTATGTTTGAGATGGCTGCTTAAGGTTGAATACCAGTGTTTTAGTACCAAGGGCTTCACAAAGATCTGATTGGTTAACAAAAATTACACAAATCGAGTACAGGGTACTTAATATTTTAAACTATCATAAACCTTCCAGGCTCATTACATTACTGTAGTTTCAGCTACAATACAGAGTATCAACATCCTGATGCTTGGAGGAAATATTTGCCTCCGATTTTTAACTGCTTTGCTTACCACTACCGGCAGACTTTCAACTAGTAGAAACTATGACCCTCCCTTTGAATGAATTTTAGCCTACTCTTCCACTCTGGCCAGACCTCTTAGACGAGGTTTGGATACTCACACTTTGCCCCACAAGCAACCAACTGTGGAGTTGTACTGCTGGGGAGGTTTAAGAAAAGTATTCATCGTTTTCCAATGCAGGACACCTCCCCGACACTTAAATCTTGGCAAGGCATTTCTGAAGGCCTGTTATTATTTGAAAGAAAAAAAGTACCAGTATGCATTTTTGAATTTGCTCACCCCTTTCCAAACGTCTTTGGTGAGGTTTTTGTAGGCATCGCTGTTGACGTTGTTTAGGTCGGAAGTGAAATCCCTGTTAAGGATGCGGAGTGTAATAAACTGTGAGAAATAGTTGGATAGGTTGCCTGAAAACCGCAAGGGAAAAAAATAGCAAGTGTTAGGGAAAGGTTGGTGGAAATCCGTACACAAACAAAATGCTTGTCTTTAAAATGTAAATGAATTATGGTCTCAATATTTTACATTATATATATAAGTGCAGCATTTACCGAGTGTCAAAATAAAAGGGAACAGTGGTGAAGGAATGCTGCTGTGGTGCAATTGTTCGCACACTGGGATTTGTAATCCAGAGACCACCAGTTCGATTTGATCTCACAGGGCAGTTAAGGCAAAAGCCCCAGTTAGTCGATCAGCTGGTCACATGTGTTTGTCAAGTGTGCGTATTCACCTTTTACAAGGTCTGGCCATTGTGGAAGAGTAGGCCAAAATACCCTCTTCTTATAAAAGGCCTCTCATGAAAGCCCTTCCCACCAGCAGTGGTGCGGGCAACAAAACACAAGGATGCACGTTTACCCCAGTGTTAAGACTTAAATGTACTCTTATTTAAGGAGAAGCAGTTTGCACACTGTGCGATGAACTGTGGTACATCCAATCCTATTGCTGGGTGAACAGTGGCGGATTGGGGGCACGTTTTAAAAAAAACTGTGTCAATTATTTCAACTTCCGCCTCTGGATCGCAAATCAAGTGTGTCATCCAATCAAACACCATGGCAGCAACTCTTAAATTAAAGTGTGAAGGGGGAATAAAACAAGAACTACGAAAAGCATAGCAGCTCACCGGCAACAGAGAGCGTCGTTACATCCACTGTGAGACCAGACACTCCAAAGGTCTGTTCTGGGAAGGTGGTGGCGTTTTCAATGAGGGAACGAAGTACTGTATTGCTCACGATGGTGTCTGAACTGAAGATCACATCAGTCGAAGACAGCACTCCCGGTGGGCTGTCACTGGAGAAACAAAAAAAGCCGCAACTTTATAATTTGGGACAATTTTTTTTTCACATTTCATTAAAATTAGGCATTAACGATTATCCCTCTTCATCATGAACTATTGAAAGATGTAATATATTTTTTTACATCTAGGTTTCTATCACCTTTTTATTGGTTTTGTCTATGGTCTCACGCCACGAACCCAACTGTGATTATGCATAAATCAATAATCCGTGTTTACAAGCATAACAAAAAAATATATCAAAAGTATAAGAATTTATTTAAAAAACAGTTACACGATCATTATAAACCCTAAAACGGAATGAGTATCTGCTTTGTCATGCATCCGTTATAGTTCCCACGCCATATATAGAAGGGAAAGGCGTTACCAAGAACATAGGAATTGATTAGGAGAAGTGAGAAAATGGGCAGAGCCCAAGCAAAGGGGCCCGAGCCCCCCCCCCCCCCAAACTACTTGGATGTATTTAGCTTTCCTGTGTTCTGCTCACACCTCCGTAAATGATTCAAGGTATACGATACCATATTCCTGTGCTGTAACAACATCTACCCGCTCACATTATTTACATTGGTAGCATTGACAACAGGAACCTACCTGAATGTTGTGTCCAGTAAGAGCACGTTGGGTCCATACTTTGATTGCAGAATATTTTTCAACTGAAACAAGACAATGAAAAAGACAACTCATGGTCACTCTGCAGCAGTGTCATAATTGGTGACGAGCGATATATGAACCTCATCTCACCACCTTCTGCATTGACCAGCATGGTGAAGTATGGCCAAACAACCCCCATGACCAATAACGTGTATGGAGGCCTTTATCTCGCAGCAGCTTGATAAATGGCAGCAAATGTATTATTTGATAAATCAGTTATCTTATAATTGAAAGCATTCATTTTCCGACCTCACACCACTGTTGGCCAAACGACAAAATTGTTCCTCAGATTCAGTCGAGAGTGCATTTGGCCTACTCTCAAGACCTATGAACAGCGTGGAAAAGGAGGTGGGGGATACCCACACTTTACTCCACCATACAAATCACCTGCTGATCAACTGGCATTTATATTTTTCGGTGGACGACAGGCGTGGGGATTTTGGAAACTTACCCGTCATATCAACTGCCATGCCGAGATTACAAATCCAGTATGCTCACACCATTACACTGCAGCAGCATCCCAATAACTTGGCACATTTTATTAACTATACCAATCAATTTTAGGGGTGCACTATGGAGCGAGCTACCAACCTCTCCTGCATATTTGCTGTTCAGGGCACTGTAGCCGGCGCTGGATCGGTCGGCCAGAGCGGCATTGAACGGGGTGTTGATATTCATCGCCAATAGGACAACATTGTAGGGCTTGGTACCTGGAAAAGAGACACGGGAAGACACAAATCATTATGACATCTGCTTTGGAGCAAGAGTTTGCTGAATTAAATTAAAGTAAGATCCTGCAGATACGCGAGGTTGAGCGTTATCCTTGTGCATCTACAGGATATCTACAGCAGCTTGGAGATGCTAAACACATTTTATTAGGTTTGGTTTTTGGGGGTCCAATCGCCTCCACAATGCCTTTGCACACAGTTGGCAAAACAATTCTGGCACTATGTAGCCGCGGGACTGCCCGTGTGATCTACTGCTGGAGAATGAAAGTCTTTACCATCGATGGCTATGGACGACTCTTTAACGTAGACACCAGTGCTTGCTAACTGAGAGTTGTTGTCAATCTTGGAGCGTAGAAGGTTGAAGACGTCTACAGGTGGGATGAGGCTCGTGGTGTTGAATGACGCTATGGAGGTCACGCCGACCACACCGGAAACGTTCCTGCAGGAGAAATCCGTTTCACATTTCAGAACGATGGCTCCAGCAACTCTTATGTTTAAATGGATTTGTTAATTTCTCTCTCAATCTATATACACTCACACATAAGTAAAATACTTTAAACAGCATTTAGTTTTTTTTCTCTTTCACTAAAATTTACGTTTTAGTCAAAGAATATAAAACTCACGAGAAGGTTGTCATCACCGAAACTGGTTGCACTGAATAACTGCTGAACATACTCTGCACCTGTTGGGAAAGGGATTGAGATTCACAACAAAACGAGATGGGGTGCATTTTAGTCATCGTCGTCATTATTTACAATATAATTTTGTATTTGACAAAATATATGGGGGGCACACACACACCTAGAAGGTTGAGGTATTTTTGACAGACCAGAGGAAGAGGAGTTGAAAAGCTACAAGGCAGAAAGGAGAATGGAGACGATGTTGTGGTGGTAGACATGAGGATGAAGATGCTGCAATAGACAGCGAAAGTCATATGCAGATGACGAAAGTCTCAAGGAATGGACTTGAACTGGGGAAGGTCACAGAGTACAAAATGGCCCAAGGTAGAGTCCTTCCATCGGGGGAATGTTGACAAGTAAATTTGTTCAGCGAAGACCTTGATTATTGTGGCGGAAAGTGTGTCAGAGTAGAGCAAGAGAGAGGAAAGGTTGCTGGGGGCAAGCCCATGCAGAATCTTAAAAAAAGGCCACTGCAATATTTTTGTATGTGAGCAAGTGAATAGATCTGGGGCGATATAGTCTCATTTACTGTGCGGGCATTATGGATATTTTACAATGGCCCAAAAAGGCCTACTGTTCTGCGGGCAACAAAGCACACTGCGCGTCCAAAGAAAAAGCACTGGAGTGCGTTTTAGCGCAAGTTCGTTTGTGGGTGCGCCTTTACCTCTTGGTTGATCCGATTGCTGAGGTCAAGGTATTCAGGCGAGGTGGTGTCGTTCATGACATTGGTGTAGACCTTGTTTATCGCGAGGAAGGTAGTGTTTACGTTGAGTAGTGGCAGAGTGGCAAGCGTGGCATCTGCAAGAAAATTTCAAAGTGTTAAAATCCAAGTGTAAATGCGTTCTGAATAATTACGTGCAATATTCAATTATACAATTCTATAAAGAATCATTTCTCAGCTTGGAGTTTACTTAATGCTGTTGATTAAAATAAAAGTTACAAGAATGATAATTTCTGAAAGTTATGCACATGATATTTAATTAATATTGCAATCTTAAAAAGGAGCTCATTTTTCAAACAGCTGTACAAATCATTATTTTTAAAAATTGACAGCACATTATAGTAGACATTTGCCCGACGTAGCCAGAAAATGGGCTTGAGCAGGCCATGGCAAGAAGGGATGATGGCTCATTGACAAGGGGAGGAGGACCATTGCGGTGATGAGATGAGCGCATGTGCAGTAATTGCATAAACATGTGGGATTTCAGGGAGGGTTTGTCCAGTGGGGATAGACAATATCTGATGACAATGATCAAAAGGGGAAATATTTCTAAGGAATGTGGAACAAAAAATTGGCAGCATTTACCCCCCCCCCCCAATTGCAACAAAACTTAAACAATATATGCAACAAATTGCATGCCAAGATGATATCACCAATGTTCCACACATTCGGTAGTCAATTTGAGCGAGCAATGAAAAAACTGAACGCAAACAAAATGTGGCCAACATATCACGGGTTTCAACTTTAGCTGCACAAAGTGCTCGATTCAAAAGTGCGTTAAAAAAATGCATGTCTGCCGAAATTATTTCGGACAAAGATTCTACAGCAATGTCTTACATGACACGGTGGATAGCCAAGATTGAGAAAGCTTGCGATGGGTGTGGTCTCATGGGTCAGGATGATGGTTGAAGGTGGAAAAAGTGGGGGGGGGGGGGGGATTGGAGCCAGTTGGGGAATTTTCTAAATGTCTACCAACAAGGCACGTTCCAATCTGAAATGTCCCCTCTGGCACTTGCATTTTTACATATTTACACAGACTCTTAAAAATTGGCTTCTCTATTGCCCTTTGCGCTTCTTTTAAATGTGGTTTAAACTCAACTGGGTGGAACAATTATAGGTTTAATTCCTATGTATAAAAGTGTACATTACCCTCGCCTTCATATATTATTAACTCAATCCGCTTTCAGGTTCCACGCATTTTAAAAATGTACGTAAAGGAAAGTCACCACCAAGAAACTTATGGAAAAATGGCCTTTTGGAATTTCATGGCTGGCTCTACTACAGGTGGACCAGCAACGGCGCAGTAATTTTACACATGGATCCAAAACATAAACAACATGATTAACCACCGAAAAGAAAGGACCATAGCTTGAGAGAGATCATTTGGATAGGCCATTTTTCAAAACAGTAGAACTGGTGGAATATTTGAGATGGAGAAATGTTTGTATGTATGATAAAAGAGAAGTTGAGTATTTACCAGACACGTTAATAGAGCTAGTTGCCAGCTGCAGTAATGTATTTGGAATTGTAGCATTTGGATCCAAGCCGCTCACAAAGGCCCTCAGCACATTTTCCTTCACTGGTGGGCTGTCGTTCACAAATATTGCTTCGGCATCAACGTTGACTGAACCACTCCTGTGGAGAAAGCAAAATCAAGCAGGTTGAGGTTTGAGGTGTTGCTTACATTAAAACACATGGTAGCTCCGTGGCAGACAGAATGGCTCTCGCCATTGGAAAGTTCAGTCGAAATCTTGGTTGGCAGACAGGGTGCCCACCCTTAGGCAATTATTGCCGATGAACAACCGTTTCAGTGAAATCTGATGTTGTGAAGCTTTCGAAGAGAGATTTTCTTTAATAAAAAAAAAATCGGATAACCGATTCTGATATATTACAAATGAGAATAGTCCCTAAAAGGCTTCAGTACAAAATAAAAAAATCCCATTATATAGTTGGGCATCATGGTTAATTAAATATGAACCCCAACCCTAAATGCATCTCCACAGCAATAAAATAAGATTGTACACTAGCCTATGACCTTTCCAGACAAAAGTATTATCCAACAAAACTTGCTTGCATAAGCGCGTAACATCTTTGACCTTCGGTGGCTCATCAGCAGAAGTTATCCATTATTCTTCATGCGTTGACGAAAGCCGTAGTTTATACGGAATGCTCTTGCTAATAAACACCTGGCAACCCAGCCGTACTTAAAAAAACAAGCTCGAGTCTGCTGATGAGACTGTGGGGCAAAATTGGCCTACTGGTTGCTTTGGTTAAAGATGTTTCTGATAATATTTGGCCTGGAAAGCCTCTGGACATTTTTTGTTTTCTTAAATATGGCTCAACTTTTGCATGGACAACACAAGTGAAAAATAAATTGCAAAAAGTCTACGAAATAAAAATCTTACCGGAAGCGCAAGACATGGGTCTTGCTGAACTTTGATCCGTACTTTTTTCTGAAAATTTGATCAAGCTAAACATACACAAAAAGACAAAATATGACAGTGTCATGGTTATAATTTTCTAATTATCTGGCAGTAGTCTAAACAAGTTCAGGTAAAATTAAATCATTCAAAAAACATGTTTTTTGGGTTTGATCATGTAAATGTGTCGTACATCCACCTTCATCCGACAGCCAGTTAAGTAAGGCTGTCCATCGACTTCAACATTTGTCTGATGATGGTTGTAATTTACAGCAAAACACCACTCAATTGCTAATGTTGTGGGTTTGGTCTCTAACGCACCAGTGTGCTGAAGTAGTAACTAATTGGCACATTTTGTTCGCGTGAAGAAAACTTATTAGCTGCATTAGGTGGAAGTGGCTGTATGACAGATATACATTCATGCAACCCAGTCCAAAAATCTTTATCATAAATAAAATGTAAGTACCGGTGTGTTCGGCATGATGTGCATTGATAATTGGTTCTTTACCCTTCTATCTGGCAACAAAACTGACACCTTTTTGCAAGGAGTCATGTTTGCATAGACCGCAATACCTGCAGTCATAAATACAAACAAAAGACATAACTCTGATAATGTGCACTATCAGAGTTATGTCTTTTGTTTGTATTTATGACTGCAGGTATTGCGGTCTATGCAAACATGACTCCTTGCAAAAGATGTCAGTTTTGTTGCCAGATAGAAGGGTAAAGAACCAATTATCATATTTTTACTGGCAAATGAGGTCCCCATAGTGATGATGTGCATTGTTTTAGACCACGTGCTGGGAGCTTCAGGAACTCAACCCAATTTAGTTCAACCGAATTCGGTTCCTCCAATTTCCAAGCAAGTGGAGCAGACAACTTCTGACATCTTGAACATGTGGTATAACCACGAAACAGGGAGCTATGGCACACGAGTGAAAAGCTACATAGTATAAATGGTCAAAAGTTTTTTCTTTTCGTTTACCTGTAGCACAATGTTGTCTTCAAGGCTTTTGTAAGCTGGACTTGTGTTGTTGGCCAGCTCGGCTGTAAAGCCTTCATTGACAATCTTAAAAAATACAGAGTATGCTACGTTTGGCACGGCGGTTGGAGTTGATGTTTTTACTGTGGTCGCCGTGCTTGTACTGTCTGTTGGCGGAACGACCGTGGCGTTCGCAGTGGCGTTCGTTGGAGCGGCCGTGGCGTTTGCTGGCGGAACTGCCGTGCCGTTGACCGTGGCGTTTGCTGGCGGAACTGCCGTGCCGTTGACCGTGGCGTTTGCTGGCGGAACTGCCGTGCCGTTGACCGTGGCGTTTGCTGGCGGAACTGCCGTGCCGTTGACCGTGGCGTTTGCTGGCGGAACTGCCGTGCCGTTGACCGTGGCGTTTGCTGGCGGAACTGCCGTGCCGTTGACCGTGGCGTTTGCTGGCGGAACTGCCGTGCCGTTGACCGTGGCGTTTGCTGGCGGAACTGCCGTGCCGTTGACCGTGGCGTTTGCTGGCGGAACTGCCGTGCCGTTGACCGTGGCGTTTGCTGGCGGAACTGCCGTGCCGTTGACCGTGGCGTTTGCTGGCGGAACTGCCGTGCCGTTGACCGTGGCGTTTGCTGGCGGAACTGCCGTGCCGTTGACCGTGGCGTTTGCTGGCGGAACTGCCGTGCCGTTCACCGTGGCGTTTGCTGGCGGAACTGCCGTGCCGTTGACCGTGGCGTTTGCTGGCGGAACTGCCGTGCCGTTGACCGTGGCGTTTGCTGGCGGAACTGCCGTGCCGTTGACCGTGGCGTTTGCTGGCGGAACTGCCGTGCCGTTGACCGTGGCGTTTGCTGGCGGAACTGCCGTGCCGTTGACCGTGGCGTTTGCTGGCGGAACTGCCGTGCCGTTGACCGTGGCGTTTGCTGGCGGAACTGCCGTGCCGTTGACCGTGGCGTTTGCTGGCGGAACTGCCGTGCCGTTGACCGTGGCGTTTGCTGGCGGAACTGCCGTGCCGTTGACCGTGGCGTTTGCTGGCGGAACTGCCGTGCCGTTGACCGTGGCGTTTGCTGGCGGAACTGCCGTGCCGTTGACCGTGGCGTTTGCTGGCGGAACTGCCGTGCCGTTGACCGTGGCGTTTGCTGGCGGAACTGCCGTGCCGTTGACCGTGGCGTTTGCTGGCGGAACTGCCGTGCCGTTGACCGTGGCGTTTGCTGGCGGAACTGCCGTGCCGTTGACCGTGGCGTTTGCTGGCGGAACTGCCGTGCCGTTGACCGTGGCGTTTGTTGGCGGAACTGCCGTGCCGTTCACCGTGGCGTTTGTTGGCGGAACTGCCGTGCCGTTCACCAGGGGGACGGCCGTGGCGTTCGCCGTGGCGTTCACCAGCGGGACGGCCGTGGCGTTCGCCGTGGCGTTCACCAGGGGGACGGCCGTGGCGTTCGCCGTGGCGTTCACCAGGGGGACGGCCGTGGCGTTCGCCGTGGCGTTCACCAGGGGGACGGCCGTGGCGTTCGCCGTGGCGTTCACCAGGGGGACGGCCGTGGCGTTCGTCGTGGCGTTCACCAGGGGGACGGCCGTGGCGTTCGCCGTGGCGTTCACCAGGGGGACGGCCGTGGCGTTCGCCGTGGCGTTCACCAGGGGGACGGCCGTGGCGTTCGCCGTGGCGTTCACCAGGGGAACGGCCGTGGCGTTCGCCGTGGCGTTCACCAGGGGGACGGCCGTGGCGTTCGCCGTGGCGTTCACCAGGGGGACGGCCGTGGCGTTCGCCGTGGCGTTCACCAGGGGGACGGCCGTGGCGTTCGCCGTGGCGTTCACCAGGGGGACGGCCGTGGCGTTCGCCGTGGCGTTCACCAGGGGGACGGCCGTGGCGTTCGCCGTGGCGTTCACCAGGGGGACGGCCGTGGCGTTCGCCGTGGCGTTCACCAGGGGGACGGCCGTGGCGTTCGCCGTGGCGTTCACCAGGGGGACGGCCGTGGCGTTCGCCGTGGCGTTCACCAGGGGGACGGCCGTGGCGTTCGCCGTGGCGTTCACCAGGGGGACGGCCGTGGCGTTCGCCGTGGCGTTCACCAGGGGGATGGCCGTGGCGTTCGCCGTGGCGTTCACCAGGGGGACGGCCGTGGCGTTCGCCGTGGCGTTCACCAGGGGGACGGCCGTGGCGTTCGCCGTGGCGTTCACCAGGGGGACGGCCGTGGCGTTCGCCGTGGCGTTCACCAGGGGGACGGCCGTGGCGTTCGCCGTGGCGTTCACCAGGGGGACGGCCGTGGCGTTCGCCGTGGCGTTCACCAGGGGGACGGCCGTGGCGTTCGCCGTGGCGTTCACCAGGGGGACGGCCGTGGCGTTCGCCGTGGCGTTCACCAGGGGGACGGCCGTGGCGTTCGCCGTGGCGTTCACCAGGGGGACGGCCGTGGCGTTCGCCGTGGCGTTCACCAGGGGGACGGCCGTGGCGTTCGCCGTGGCGTTCACCAGGGGGACGGCCGTGGCGTTCGCCGTGGCGTTCACCAGGGGGACGGCCGTGGCGTTCGCCGTGGCGTTCACCAGGGGGACGGCCGTGGCGTTCGCCGTGGCGTTCACCAGGGGGACGGCCGTGGCGTTCGCCGTGGCGTTCACCAGGGGGACGGCCGTGACGTTCGCCGTGGCGTTCACCAGCGGAACGGCCGTGGCGTTCGCCGTGGCGTTCACCAGCGGAACGGCCGTGGCGTTCGCCGTGGCGTTCACCAGCGGGACGGCCGTGGCGTTCGCCGTGGCGTTCACCAGCGGGACGGCCGTGGCGTTAGTCGTTGCATTTACCGTTGCAACAGTGGTAGGCGCAGTTGTTGCTGGAAAAAGAACACAACACGAAATATGAATTATAAAAAAACACATTTACATTTTAACATGCCAAAAAATGTATATATATACGTGTGTATGTATATATTTATACCACGCGCACTTTGTATTACAGTATTTTAACTCTTGGAAGTAGATTACTTTGTGGACAGTTTGCAGGAGTACATTAATGCAGTGACAGCACGATTAAAATTGTAATCAGAGTCGATGCATTTTTTTTTTATTGGGCAAGGTTGCAAGAACTTTCCAATTCCAAAGGTCAAGAATTGAGCGGGAAGAAGTAGTGCAGTGTTTTGACCTGCAACATGGTGGTCGAACACAATATGGAGCCAAAAAGTCTGGTAGAGCAAGATTTCTTCGACACGTGTGAAGGAAACAGCGAGGGAAGTCCACGGGAACGGAAAACTATGTTAGTAGCGATGCAAGACTGATGAGAAACCCAGAGTATAATCAGCACACCCTGAATAACAATCGAAGACCCCGAAACGCGGACATTCGCAACCAGTGGGAGCTGCAATGCTTGGCGAGGGACTTACGTGTGGCGCTGTTGACACTGATGTTTGTGGGATCGAGCTGCAAGCCATTGGGAAAGGTTGCGTTGGCGACCAGGTCGTTTAGAACCGTCTGTGCGAGTGGTGCGGCGTCCGCAAACGTGGCCGTCGACTCGACTAGCACAGAGCCAGAGCTAGAACGGGAAACAATAAAAATGTGAAAACTCAAAAATGGTAGCCTCTCTCGCTCTGCTTCACAGAATCTGCATATGCAATTATGGGTTATAAAAACCGATCTGACAAATATAACCTCCGTCCTAGCCGTCCCAGGAAATCTTTAAGTCCTCCCAGAATATTAGAAGTCCTAGGTTTTACCAGTTGTGTAATAATGTACCACTAAAGATGCTTCCCACGATATATGCTGTTTTTTGGTAAGGGCAGCAAGGTGGAGAGATATGCCCAAACGACCGCATCATTTGACTAGTCATGGGCAAATTAATATATGGAAGCAATATGATGTTGAAGATTTCGTATGTTTGCAATGTGTTCATGTTTTAATGATTGTGAATTACTTACTTTGAAAATAACTTCACGTGAAAGACTAGCAAACTTTCCAATCTTTGGTTAAAATATACCATTGGAATACTCCAAAAACAAATTTATTTCAAGGTTGTGCCGCTAAGAGCAGGATGACAACTTAAGGTCAACGTACCTGAAACTGTTGATCGTGACCAATCGAAGGTTGCTGTGCAATCCATGGATTACAGCATACATCTGCGAAACAAAGTCATTGATGTATCAGTATTGTTCTTGGCGACTGATCGCTGCTTTCACTTGCCTGGGTTCGCAGATTTTCTTGAATTTTTTTTGACAAGTCATAAAATTTCGATTTAAAGCTTTCGTGACTGCAGGGATTCATCTTCTTGGTTCTTTCGGTAAAGTCACGTAGAAGGGAAATAATAAAATAAAAACATAAGAATTCCCATAAATATGCTAAATTACTCTTGATATGCAAATTCATTTGTCAAGGCACCCCTTCCCCCCTTAAATATACACTGCCAATCCTGGTCGTGCCCATTCAGACGCTGTCTTCCCGACAGACCTGTTCTTCACCTGAGGACAGCTGCTTGCGTTGTGGCCGAAACGTCGTGAGAATTATTTTATTATTTAGTATTTTTATTATTTTATTATCTCCCTTCTACGTGACTTTACCGAAAGAACCAAGAAGAAGTCATAAAATGTTTAACTGTTGTTAGTTGCATCTCCCCGGTGCATGGAAAACACATGCCAGGCAGCCCTCCGTTTGGTGCTGAACAATGCAACGTATATAGCATTAGATTGTTCATTCTACAATTACAAATAGCAAACACTTGGGTTTTGGCAAGAGCCAGGAGGAACACTTGGAAAGCTGGAGGAGTCTTTTTTTGCAAATGGCTCAAGGTTATTATTGGTTATTTAGAGATAGGATCCATGAAGAAGTTTACCACCAAATTCATCACAGATATGAAGGAGCCCTACTGTACTCCAACTATATTTAATCTTTTGATTTAAAGCTTTCATGACTGCAGGGATTCATATTCTTGGTTCTTTCGGTAAAGTCACGTAGAAGGGAAACAATATATATTTAATCTCCGTAACTTTTGGGCTAGTCTCAGTGCCGAGCCAACCGTTTTTCTGTGCTATTTGTATTTAAAGATTTCGTTGTCAGTGTAAATCAGTTACATTGCTGAAGCGAGAAAAATCGTAAACTCAAATTATTTTTTGGTCGCACATGTCGTGAACGTCTCTTCACAGTAGACACCCACAACACGGAGGTGGATCTGTTTCTGTAACAGGGCACCTCAACACTGCATTAACCGGATGTGGCAATGGTGCTTTAACTCTGCTCACCCCTTGCTGAACTTCACTGGAGAGGTTTTTGTATGCGTCGGTGTTGACATTATTTAAGTCGCTGACAAATTGTCTGTTGGTGATGCGGAGATGAATTGCCTGGTAGACGTAGGAGGACATAAAACCTGAAATCGCAAAAAAATATGCACAGATTATCTAGGTGTTTTGCATATTATGCCATTCATCCAGCATTGTATGCCACTTATTACATATCTTATATACCAATTATACACAACTAGGAAACCGTGTATATCTTAGGTCAATTAAATGCAATGAAATAAAGATATTAATGGCCAGCAGAATAGAGTATGTTATAAAGCTAACTTATATGATGAAAAAGCAGCATACCAATGTGCCTAAAGAATGTGGTTTTCAATAAATGCACATTGCCAGCTATGATATATGGATCAGAAACATGGGCAATGACAATTGAAAAGCTGAAAAGTAAACAAAAGCAGCTTGGAATGGAATTGAGGACACAGAAAGAACAGATGGCTTAAGGAAGACAAATTGAAGACGTCACCGACATAAGATAAGCAAGTGGGCCTGGGTAGAGTCAAAAAAGGTGGCAGATGGACAAGACTTTTGAAGGAAATTGCAGCCAAAAGGGAATCAGCGCAACGGAGAGGAGAGACAACCACTGAAGAGATGGATTATTTTGTCAATGAGATCAGCTTCTATGCAAAAGGTCAGATACATTGTCGCGTCGTAGGCCCACAAGGCATGGAGAGGCATTCATCCAGCAATGGGCAGATATGGCTGACGATGACTGTGATGCTGGCGACAAAGGCAAAAAAAAAGGAGAACTTGAAAAGTGCAGCTGCTCACCGTCGACAGAAAGTGTCTGTGCATCCACTGTAAGACCAGACCCTCCAAAGGTCTGCATTGGGAATGCGATTTCACTTTCAACGAGGGAGCGAAGTTCTGTGGCGTTAGTGACGATGTCGGAACTGAAGATAATGTTGGTCAAAGACTGCACTGATGGTGGGGTGTCACTGGAAAGACAAAAAGTTAAGTTATATTTTAACAGCTCAGTGTTTTGGGATGTCACTCATTTTGTGCTGATATGCAGAGTCTGGAATTTCTTATCGTGGCCATCCACACTGCTGAGATCATCGTCTCATCCAATCCAGGTTAAAAACACTTTTATATTCAGTATAGGACCAAATGTCTCTTTTTATGCAGAATGTGCGGCCCTACAAGTGCTTGGTCACACCACTGCTAGCAGAAGAAATGGGAGCAATACCATCTAGGAGGGTATTTTGGCCTACTATTGCAGACTGGCCAGATGGTCTTGCAAGCAGTGGGAGTGGTAAAAGATTGTTGCACCCATTTATACTGTGGGGTGGACGATTTAAAATTCGCACCATAATTTCAACTGCCGTTCTGAGAGAATGAATCGGTGACGTCTGGACTGCAAGTCCAGTGTTTAACCATTACACCATTGTAGTAATTCCTACTCTAAAAATAACTATCAGCAAACCACCCCTGCTCCCCCACCATTTCATTTTCTCCAGATGTGCTAGTTTTATTTTACAGCATAGCAATTATAAGCTGTATAAAAACACAATTGTAATGGTTCGTTTGAGATGTATGGCATTGTGTAAACCCCAGTTGGGTCACCCACTCTGGTATACTAGAAGCCCCACCCCACAGGTGTTGACAATTGGTATACCATTTCTCTACAATGTGGTAGGACCGTCTCTACGAGTACGAGCAGCTAACCACCCAGTAGGCATTAAAGCACATCACACAAGCCAACCTGAATGTTGTGTCCAGTAACAGTGGGTTGTTGGGCCCATACTTCTTAAGAAGAACATTTTTCAGCTGCAAAAAAAAATACAAATTAGTGGGCATTTTACACTCCACAGTACAAACTCCCGTTGCTGCAATGGACACAGCAATGTATACTGCACTCTCCATTTTACAATGCACGTTTTAGGTGCGAAGCAACTCAATCTACTTGATTCTGTCTGGGAAATCATTCTGAAACCTCATATCAGTGGGCTTATCATTGCCTTAATTGTTTTTTTTTAACAACCCTTTTAAATAATGAAGACAAATTAACTTTACGAATCTTACAGTATATCCTTGCTTCGCAACTCCTTGGACAGGTTTCATACTTATTTTTCTTCTCAAATCTCAGACACTAACAAAGCTTTGAATCTGATTAGTACTTGATGGGAGACTGCATGAGATTATCAGGTGTAGGATTATGCTGCAAGGGGATTAGCGGATGGCGGTACAGGTATCCGTAGATTTATAAAAGTGATCCAGTCATAAAAAAAAATATGCATAAAACAGGATTTTGTTGGAATGACTTTTCCCATTCATTTAAAACTTCTAATTATGGATGTGTTACGGACAATAATTCCTATTCCTAACCTAAAAACAACACCGATTACTTTCACGATACAAAAATATAAAGAACATAAATAATAACACGATCGAATAACAATTAATTTAAAAAATAACCTTTTCAGTATACTCAACAGATTTGCACATTAGAATGAATGGAAAATTGATGGAGGAATTACTGTTGCACTGTCGGGATACCGTTACACCAGCCTCCGACGACGGATAACAGTGCCTCCCAGGTGCTTGTAAAATTTAAAATGGCGCATGCCATGTGAAAATTCGATTTCGTTCATTGAAAAGTATCCATAATTAAAAATGGCACAAACGCAAAATGCCATAAAGTGAACGTTTGTAAAATCAAGGGATACCTGTACAACAATACTCAAATTCATGTAGAGCTTGAGCATTAGCCCTCCCCCACCACCCCACATGGTGGGTTGTTCTGGAGTTGGCCAAACATAATACAGGACCCTTATCTAAAAAGGATCATTGAGTGGAGGCACGCAGACAAATAAAGAAATGCATCATAAAATGTTCAGTAGATCACTAACCTCTCCTGCATATTTGCTATTCAGGGCGCTGTATTCAGCGGTTGATCTGGTAGCCAGATTGGCCACAAACGGGGTGTTGATCTTCATCACCAATGGGACCACATTGTAGGGCTTGGTACCTGAAGAAGAGATACGGGGAGAAGACAGATTATTATTATTACATCTACTTTGAGCACGAGTTTTCTGCTAATCAATCCTATTAGCGATTCAATTAAAGCAAGATCCTACAGATATGCAAGGTTGAGCGTTATCCTTGTGCATCTACATGCTATCTACAGCAGCTTGAGTTGCCAAATACATTTTATTAGGTTTGGTTTTTGGTGTCCAATCCCCTCCACAAATGCCTTTGCACAACCACAGGCAAAACAATTCTGGCACTATGTAGCCATGCGACTGGCTGTGTGTTCTACTGCTGGAGAATGAAAGTCTTTACCATCGATGGCTATGGACGACTCTTTAACGTAGACATCAGTGCTCGCCAACTGAGAGTTGTTGCTAATCTTGGCGCGCAGAAGGTCGAAGACGTCTACAGGCGGGACGACGCTCGTGGTGTTGAATGATGCTATGGAGGTCACGCCGACCACACCGGAAGAATCCCTGCAAGAGAAATCCGTTTCATATTCACAATCGATGGCCACAGCAATTTAAACATTTAAAGAATGGATTTGCTAATGTATCTCTATACAGGCAGACCTTAGCGTGACCCTGCAAGAATGCAGCTTAATTATAGTGCTCTTTGTCCTGAGAGAAAATGTACTTTAAAATGTTTTTGTTAAAAGTGCTTAGGAGTGGGAACATAGCAGCGCCGGCCGAGGAAAGGCACTCCACCCCATCATTCGCTCAGCTAATATGGGCGACATACGCAGAGCCAACCAGAACCCCACCCACCGTGATTAAACTATCACAACTCATGGTTACGATAACTTTACTACTTTTATTCTCAATGTTATTTACAGCGTGTTTAGCCAGGTGAAACTCACGTGACCAGGATAGTCTCCGGCTCCACTTAAAAAGAAACCTCACCACTGAAATGTTGGACTGAGGGCATCACTAAAACCCAGATTGGGATTGCAGCAGCTCAAACCTTGGTTTCCCTCCAATATATATTGTAGTACAGTAGAATGTACTCCTTAGTATAGTACATAATTGTTGTTATTATAATAAATTATTCTCTTTAGTTATAAAATGCTTGCCATGCGTATTATTAGGAGCTCTATTCACGACATCCCAATGAGGCCCTCATATTGCTCAGAAAAAATAACAAAAACTGCCGTCGAAAACTCATCCTGATATATTACACAAATGGTACGCGGACCCCTTTAAGCGACAATTCGATTTGCGCACTTCTCCAGGAATGCATCTTGAACGTTAAGAGAGGTCTGCCTGTGAATATATACAAATGCTTAAAATGCACTTTTTTTTTATTATTTACCAAGTTACATTTCAGATCAAGGAATATAAAAAAAACTCACGAAAATGTGGTCACCACTGAAACTGGTTGCTTTGAATAACCGATGAACATATTCTGCACCTGTTGGGGAAAAGGCATTTAGATTAAGAAACTGAGAGAGAATTTCAGTCGTCATCTCCATTTCTTGCAATACATTCTGGATTTACAAAACATAAAATGTAACCACATCTCAAAACGATTTACTAAATATTGGAAACATGCCCATCTCGAAAGCGTAAGAGAGGTATTTTCACATACCAGGGAAAGGGTAAAATAGCACAAAGCCAGAAAGAGAATGGAAGATGACATTGTGGTGAAAGAATGAAGAAGTTTCGTAGAGAGAGAGGAGAAGACCGTCTTGATTCAGGACTAGAATTGGGGGAGGTGCCCAAAAGGTGCAGATGGCCAGAGGCAGAGTCTTCCCATCAAGTGAAAGTTGACTCGGAAAATTTGTATATAGGCCTCAATTATTGCAGCAGAGAGTACGCGAATGAGAAGCGTGAGATGAGGGAATGGAATTATGCATTCCCAGAAGGCTCGGCTGTACAAAGAAGAACGTAATATTTTGTGGACAGACAAATATAAAAGCAGGTAGTGCAATTATTTATTTTGTTACTTATAGTCTCCACAACGACACATGTTATTTTGACAGGGTAGATGGAGAGTGAGATGAGTGGGGAATGGTGGCTGGGACAAGCCCAAAGAGTATCTCGAAACAGGCCACTGTGATCGAGTCACTTGTGTGCAACTGAATTGGGAGCCAAATTATGGATTCGAGCCAATGTCGTATTGTTTGCAGACATGGGGGGGGGGGGGGGGGGGCAGGCCTGTTGGTGGACACTCGATTTTTTGGGGAAGGCCAAAAAAGGCTTTTTGTTCTGCATGGAACAAAGCACACTGGTTGCCTCAAGAAAGCACTTGAGTAAGTTTTAGTGTAGTGCGTTTGTGGGTGCTTTCACCTCTTGTGTGATCGTAGTGTTGAGGGCAGCATATTCAGCCGAGGTGGTGTCGTTCATGGCACTGCTGTAGACCTTGTTCAATGCGAGGAAGGCAATGTTTACTTTGAGCAGCGGCAGAGTGGCGAGCGTGACATCTGGAAGGCAAATTTTAAAATCAGCCTTTGGCAAAAAACAACAACCCATTGGTATTGTGCAATGACAAAATGCACTTGCACAACTCCATTTTATACCTTCATGATCTTCTTGCTCGCCCTAACAAGACAGTACAATGCACTCTTCACAAATTTGGACTGACCAGCATGGTGAAGTATGGGCAAATAACCCTGACAGCCCACGTCATGGGGAGCCCCATATCCAGCAGTGAAGCAGGAAAATATCGTTTGTACAATTAATTATAACAAAGCGTTGAAATTATTTCAAGGATCTACATTACTACGTCTGAAAATGCATTCAGAATGTTTCAGCCATTTTATATTTAGCCACGCTCACTTCATTTGCACAATTTATCCCTGTGATTTGATTAAACAAATTTACCACGACTGACAAGGTTGAAGTTGACTTTGCTACCTCAAATATTTGGAGAACATTTGTACAAAAAGGCCCAATTAGTCTTTTGGGCCCATACTATAATCATTTCACATTTTGATGTCTGACACCCTTGTCCATGACTTCATGCGCCGGATGTTGCAATTTGGTTTCAAATCTTAGAATAACATTTTTACCATATTTTTTCATTTCATGTTTCACTTATGTGTGCTCACTTTGGCAAGTGCCTAGGTTAATTTAGAATTTTTTTTACACGTGTATTTGATATATCATTGTTAGCGTTAAATATTGTATTATTACATATTGCCCACAACCAGATTTATAAAAAATACTTTGGGCAATGGAGCAACACTGCACATTATAGCACTTTCTTTTGCCAATAATAAAATTGTCAGAAAAATGCACAAATGTCAGGATAAGACAAGGACGTCTTAACAAGGATGAAAGCAGTTATCCTGTTATGTTTTGCTGCATAATATACATTTTTACACATGTATCATTATCAGTGTTGATTTGTTACCTGACACATTTATAGATGTGGGTTCCAGCTGCAGTGTTGAATTTGGAATTGAAGAGTTTTCCAAGGAAGTCACAAGTGTCCTCAGTATATTGTCCTGGTTTGGTGCGCTTTGATTGGTAAACTCTGCTACAGCATCCACGTTAACCGAACCATTACTGCAGGAACAAAATACAGTTTGAGGTTAATTTTGATCACGTACGCAAACCGCCCAGTTTAAAAACATTTTAAAAATCACAAACACAATACAGTACGCACACGCAGATTAACCATTCGGAATTGTGTTTCATGGAGGTGGCCAGGTGGCTTAGAGGCTAAAGTACCACGTTAGCACTGCAGAGAGAACCTGGGTCCAAATTTAGGTTTCAACTATCCATAATCAAGGTAGGTTCAAGTGTAGAGCTTGCTGATCTCAGCCAAGTCACCAATAAATTCAGTAAAAAAAATCCAAAATTTTTAATCTACTTTAAATTGCGGCTCTAAAAATAAAAATATCAGTTTAACTCCCATGGTGACAATCACATATCAGCATATGGGAAAGTGTGAAAGGCCACCAAGGATATTTTGGGAATGGTGACACTTCTTGCAGTGGTTTATGGACACATGGCATCACGTTGCTCTTGAGATTTCGTATTTTTTGTCTCATGGATATCAAAAGTGCAACCAGGAATTAAGTTAGGTAAAGAAAAATAATTCTCAAATTTAAATGACAGTATCGTTAATGTATTTGCTTCAAAACCAGTGTAGAAACCCATTTTACATAGGAGAAGAGACCAATTAAATGTCAGCATTAATTAAAAAAACATCGAACATGCAGTGGATTGAACCTTTTACTTGACAAAGTGATGGTACCTTTTGTAACAATACCAGATTAACATTAATTATATAGCGTAAAATAAGCAATTCATACCTGAAATGATTAACTCGGGTTCTGGAGAATTTTTTTCCATAGGCGTTCCTGAACACCACATCAAGCTAAGGGAAAGGCAAACGCAGGAAAGGATTAACATGTCAATGCAGTTAATGGTTACTTCATGCAGTATATAGAAAACAAAATAATTGTAATTTGTCAAATCCACGAGTTTACATTTGGCTATGTATAAAACAGGCCGTGGGCCTTCAAAGTGATCAATGATGCAAAATGTGGGAGATACAAGTGTAATCTTAATAGATATTTTAAATAACAAAAACACTAATTAACGAATTAAAGATAGCAAAATGAGGCAAATGACCCCACAATCCCCAGGTGTTGAAAGTGTTTCATTTACTTTCATAGCGGTCCTATCAAAGCAATCTATCAGTGGATATGATACACGAGCAGAAAGTGATTACATATACGAATAATACACCCACGTGGGTTTCTGTTGGGTGGCGGAGGCAAGTAAATTGCTAAATACTGTAGAATTCACCTTATCTGCAGTGATATCCGCGACGAATTTTGTAGATTCTATTATCCACAATGTTACCTACGAAGTTAATCTACTCATCTCCAAATTAATTTTAAATCGCATGAATTTCCAAAAATGTTTTCTTCTCCGTGAATAATTTGTGGACAAGCAGCAACCCCTTCCACAACATGGGATAGGAGTTAATGGATAATGAATGGCGGAGTCTAAGGCCATAGACTAGAGGTGTTCTACTACATGAATGTCAGGGGTCAATTAATATATAGATATTAAGCCCCCAGCAAATAAGGTGATGCAAACATGGTCGCAATCCCGTGTGAAGTTGTGCCGCTTACCTGTGGTACGATAATGTTCACAAGATCGTTGTAAGCAGGACTTGTTTTGTCATTCAGAGCAGTGTCAAATTTTTGATTGACAATTTTAAAGAAAATAGGGTACTCTTTGATTGGTACAACAGGGGTAGCTGTGGTGGTCGTGGTGGTCGTGCTGGACACCGTTGGTGTAGATGTGCTGTTTGAGACTGGCACCGTTGATGCAGATATTGCAGGTGCCGAGGTACCGTTCACGATTGCATTGGGAGCCAGGCTTGGTGGTGCTGATGGAGGGGCAGGGGATGTACCATTCACCGTTCCATTGGGAGCTGGTGCTGATGGAGTAGGGGAGGTCTCGTTCACTGTTCCATTGGGAGCCAGTGTTGATGGAGGGGCAGGGGATGTACCATTCAATGTTCCATTGGGAGCTGGTGCTGATGGAGGGGCAGGGGAGGTACCATTCACCGTTCCATTGGGAGCCGGTGCTGATGGAGTAGGGGAGGTCTCGTTCACTGTTCCATTGGGAGCTGGTGCTGATGGAGGGGCAGGGGATGTACCGTTCACTGTTCCATTGGGAGCTGGTGCTGATGGAGGGGCAGGGGAGGTCTCGTTCACTGTTCCATTGGGAGCTGGTGCTGATGGAGGGGCAGATGTCCCGTTCACCGTTCCATTTGGAGCCGGTGCTGATGGAGGAGCAGGGGAGGTCTCGTTCACTGTTCCATTGGGAGACGGTGCTGATGGAGGAGTAGGGGAGGTCCCGTTCACCGTTCCATTGGGAGCCGGTGCTGATGGAGGAGCAGGGGAGGTCTCGTTCACTGTTCCATTGGGAGCTGGTGCTGATGGAGGGGCAGGGGAGGTCTCATTCACTGTTCCATTGGGAGCTGGTGCTGATGGAGGGGCAGACGATGTACCATTCACTGTTCCATTGGGAGCTGGTGCTGATGGAGGGGCAGATGTCCCGTTCACCGTTCCATTGGGAGCCGGTGCTGATGGAGGAGCAGGGGAGGTCTCGTTCACTGTTCCGTTGGGAGCCGGTGCTGATGGAGGGGCAGGGGAGGTCTCATTCACTGTTCCATTCGGAGCTGGTGCCGATGGAGGAGCAGGGGAGGTCTCGTTCATTGTTCCATTGGGAGCTGGTGCTGATGGAGGGGCAGGGGATGTACCATTCACTGTTCCATTGGGAGCTGGTGCTGATGGAGGGGCAGATGTCGCGTTCACCGTTCCATTGGGAGCCGGTGCTGATGGAGGAGCAGGGGAGGTCTCGTTCACTGTTCCGTTGGGAGCCGGTGCTGATGGAGGGGCAGGGGAGGTCTCATTCACTGTTCCATTCGGAGCTGGTGCCGATGGAGGAGCAGGGGAGGTCTCGTTCATTGTTCCATTGGGAGCTGGTGCTGATGGAGGAGTAGGGGAGGTCTCGTTCACTGTTCCATTGGGAGCTGGTGCTGATGGAGGGGCAGGGGAGGTCTCGTTGACTGTTCCATTGGGAGCTGGTGCTGATGGAGGGGCAGGGGAGGTCTCGTTGACTGTTCCATTGGGAGCTGGTGCTGATGGAGGGGCAGGGGAGGTCTCGTTCACTGTTCCATTGGGAGCTGGTGCTGATGGAGGGGCAGGGGAGGTCTCATTCACTGTTCCATTGGGAGCTGGTGCTGATGGAGGGGCAGGGGAGGTCTCATTCACTGTTCCATTGGGAGCTGGTGCTGATGGAGGGGCAGGGGAGGTCTCGTTCATTGTTCCATTGGGAGCTGGTGCTGATGGAGGGGCAGGGGAGGTCTCATTCACTGTTCCATTGGGAGCTGGTGCTGATGGAGGGGCAGGGGAGGTCTCATTCACTGTTCCATTGGGAGCTGGTGCTGATGGAGGGGCAGGGGAGGTCTCATTCACTGTTCCATTGGGAGCTGGTGCTGATGGAGGGGCAGGGGAGGTCTCATTCACTGTTCCATTGGGAGCTGGTGCTGATGGAGGAGTAGGGGAGGTCTCGTTCACTGTTCCATTGGGAGCCAGTGCTGATGGAGGGGCAGGGGAGGTCTCGTTCATTGTTCCATTGGGAGCTGGTGCTGATGGAGGGGCAGGGGAGGTCTCATTCACTGTTCCATTGGGAGCTGGTGCTGATGGAGGGGCAGGGGAGGTCTCGTTCATTGTTCCATTGGGAGCCAGTGCTGATGGAGGAGCAGGGGAGGTCTCATTCACTGTTCCATTGGGAGCTGGTGCTGATGGAGGGGCAGGGGAGGTCTCATTCACTGTTCCATTGGGAGCTGGTGCTGATGGAGGGGCAGGGGAGGTCTCGTTCACTGTTCCATTGGGAGCTGGTGCTGATGGAGGAGCAGGGGAGGTCTCGTTCACTGTTCCATTGGGAGCCAGTGCTAATGTAGGAGTAGGGGAGGTCTCGTTCACCGTTCCGTTGGGAGCCGGTGCTGATGGAGGAGTAGGGGAGGTCTCGTTCACAATTCCATTGGGAGACGGGCTTGATGGTGCAGAAGTTGCATTTAATGATGTGGATGTTTCTATAGAACTGTTCACAGCTGAAATATTTGATGTCACCGTTCCGTTGGGTTGTAAAGATGTCGCTGGCGACGTTGTGATGGCTACTGCTGAACCATTTACAGGTGCGGCAGATGTAGCATTCAAAGTTTCATTGTTTGGAAGAAATGATAAGGATGTATTGAACTGTGTTGATGCTTCGGTGGAGTTGCTATTAGTTACATTTGCAGATGGAGAAATTGTTGTGTTTTGCACTGGAACAAAAAATGGCAATTGAATTTAGAAAACATTGATCAAAAAAGGCATTACTCAACAAAATACTGTGCTAAATGCTATATGCTAAATACTTGGGGTGTGATAACTTGCCCAAGTGACGAGACGATCCGTCACAAAATCAGGAACAGTACAAATTTTTGTTTTAGACTTTGTTGTTGTGACAATCGCTCACACCACAAATTGTGAGCCTTAGAATAAACATTGAATTGGAAATATTCACATTTTTGTTACCTATTAAAATTCTGAAGCAATTGTTACATGCCCTTTTCTGAAGCATTTGCTAAAAACTACGAGTAAAACACATGCGGACATGCTCGAATTGTACATCATTATTCATTGCCTAGCCACTTGAATCCAACCCTGATGGATGTTGTATATTTGGAGTTTGCACGTTCTCCCTGTAGTCGTATACATTTTCGCTGGGTGCGCCTGTTTCTCCCTCTACATTCAGAAACATGCTTTTAGAGTAATTGGCTGCTATACATTTCCACATTAGCTACTTGATTGAGCTATCATTTTGTGGCCAGCTTGCTCCTGACAAACGAGCTATATAGCTGTGGGCCTTACCTGGCAAAATAAAATTAGTTTATAGTTTAGTTTATCATATCAGCTCTGTGTTTGTTCTCTAATACTTGTTTCTTTTTCTGCAGTCTGTCGTTCAATGTGGAAGAATTGTATATTATTTACTTCATTTCAACGTGGTTAGAGACCATTGTGTATCAGGGGAGAATGTTAATGCAATTGGCACAATGTTGAAAATTTAGTTTAAAGTATATTTTTATCAAAGCTTAGGATTGCAATAAAACCGAATAGTTTAAAACATGGGAAAACATTTTTACGCGTAAAATAAGTTTACCTACGAACCGAGGTGAAGAAAACCCTCAAAAGCATGACAAAAAAAAATAATAAAGATGGTTCAATCAAATGAAAATGGTCACAAGAGCAATTTACAACGCAAGCACTTTGCTTAAAAAAAAGGTTAAATACATTTTACTACCTGGGGCAATAAACATCACCCCTCCCCCACAGTGAAGAATTGTCACGGTTTCAATGGAAAAACAGATTATTATTTTGTTTAGTGAACGTACGGTCGTAGCCTCTAGTGGCAAATGCATATGCGCCCTTCCCTCCCAAAGCCAACATTGTCATAGGGGTTAACAGGACTTTTACTGGTCATTATGGGGTTGGTGCAGTGAAAGCTAATTTGAAGGAAGAGAAAATCTTGTCAAATTGAACAAAAATGGTCAATCGAAAGACCCACCCTCCTTCATGTACAAGGTACTTACAGTGTCCAAGAGGCAAAATAATGAACGCGATGTAGAGCCCGAATACTTCGATCGCCTTCATATTTCTTTATTCGCGTTGTGCAGCAACACCAGATGAATCTGCAATGCCACACACTGGGGAGAGAATAAGGCTTCATTTAATGTCACCGTTGCTATTTTTGAGGTTATCAAAAATCCCGGGTGGGGTGAGCACATGGGCCGAAGATGCTGACCGGACCCGCTGCAGGGCTACCTCTGCAAACCGGGGATATTCCAGTCGAGGCAGTGAAGCTTAAATTTTTTTGTTGGGTTTGAGCGTGTAAATATACATGCGTCGTTAAACCCGCCACCGCCAGGTTTGTCACGTAAACAGAACATTCCAATTCGTGACCAACTTTAAAGGATCAGAATAGGTTTTCCCCTTTTTTCTGGAAACAAAACAGCTGTGTTAAGATGTTAAAACACCAAACTGAAACCTTTTACAAGGAATCATGTCTGCATTAACCACAATGCTTGTTGGTCAGAATGCAAACAAAAAACACTGATAATATATGCATCGTCTTTGAAACTGATTGGTCCACACCAGACAGCTTTCTTTAGAGTGTAGTCTCAAACGGTGTTAGACCAGAGGACGCCAAAAGTCGGACAGCACAAAGACAATGAGAGCTCGGGCAGAGCAGCTACATCATGGGACCTCGTTTGCCAGTACCCAAATATGAGAATAGGTTTTCCCCTTTTTTATGGCAACAAAATGTTAAATGTATTTTGGCAGTTGCGTGGCTATTATACAAGGGAGATCCGTGGCGCGCAGCATAACAAACATCAACATTGCCGAGAAGGCGTAACAGGGTGCCCTTAAGGAATATTGCGCCGCGTATTTAACAGTTGTAAAACAAAACGCTCGCAAATTTTACAAAAAGTGCAAATTAAATTAGGGAAAGGAGGCGCAATAAAATGTTTGAAGATCCCATCCACTTAGCTTCGCAAATGGCTAAGCTCTGGCCATCAAAATCTGGACTGTGGGACTAAATTGTAGCTCACAAAAGCATATGCAATGAGTGCCCTGTGTTTACCATATAAAAACCCCACACATTTGCCTCATGAAATATAAGTCGAATGCTTTGCTTTTTTAAACAAGGACACCGTGTAAAAAAAAAATGCATAGTACTCGTGTAACTGTTGTGACCAGAATTGGGATTCCTGGTCACGGCTAACATCAGTGGCAAAGGCAATAATCAGCAAAGATCACTTGATGACCCTAACCACCGACATATTTGCCTTGAAAAACCAGAGATCGAGCCCAGGTTCCATTCCATCTCCCGGCACGGCAGTGAAAACAAATTGTGGAAAAGTTAAAATGCCAATCCCCACTCAGCAGCGAAGTCTACAGCCAACGCCTCTTACAATCGATATCGATCGGCAGGTCGTGTGGTGGGGTTAAGTGTGGGTAAAGACCACCTCTTCCAAAAATACGTAACACATTCATTTTATATTCACGCCGACAGCATCCGACAACGCTGCACATTAACTAGATGTGTACAAGGAGCACATCACACATCTCGTCAACGTGGACGAGTAGGCCAAAAGCACGCTAGTTCTTTGGCAGTGTCGGCCTTTACACAGCAGACAGAACTCTGAGGCAAGTCAACGATTATAATGATAAAAAACTAAAACTTTTAAAACCAAATTTCGATTTAAAGCTTTCGTGACTGCAGGGATTCGTATTCTTGGTTCTTTCGGTAAAGTCACGTAGAAGGGAAGTAATAAAATAAAACAATAAAATTCTCACGACGTTTTTCACACCTGATGACGATTGCTTGTGTTGCAATCGAAACGTCGTGAGAATTTTAGAGTTTTATTTTATTATTTCCCTTTTTAAACTAAAACAAATGTTTCCTTTTCTTTTAACAGGCAAGGCCCACCGAGCTATAAAACAAATCGATTTTTTTTCAGAAGCGACCTGGCCACAAATGACATCTCAACGAAGTGGCTTATCGTGTGGAAATGTATAGCAGCCAAATCATCTAAACGCGCGTTCATTCTAAATGTAGAGGAAAACAAAAAAACCACAGATGACCTGGAGATGCATCCCACACGACCACGGGGAGAAATATACATCACAAACTTCAAATATACAGCAGCAGCAGGCGTCAGGGTCGGGTTCTAACCGAGGCCCTCTCCTGTAGACAACGCGAAGTAGTCAACGTCTCGTCACAGTCCATTAGACGAGACTGCCACTCCCCTCCGCCTCTCTCCAGCGAGAAAAACTTGTGTCTAACGTAGTGCACATTCTATGGTTATTTCGGTAAAGTCACGTCGATATAAAAAATGACAATACAATTATAAAGTGGATACAAATATCACGACGTTTCGATCGCAACACAAGCGATAGAAACGTGATATTTGTATTCACTTTATTGGTATTATTTTGTTATTATTTTCTCTTCTATCTACGCGACTTTACCGAAATAACCATAGAATACGAATTCCCTGCAGTCACGAAAGTTGCAAGTCAAAATTTTACGCAGTGCAATCATAGTATAATGTATGAGGAGAATCTTTCCCGCCAATTTACGCGCCTAAATTCAATGCAGCAGTTGAGGGTGGAATTATATGGGGGGGGGGGGGCATGACGTCACCACGCACGGACGCAGCACAACGTGAGATGGTGGTGACGTCATCACGCAAACGTGCGCGGGGGCGTCACTTCCTGCGCATGCGCGTTCGCGCGCCGGCCAGGCAGACAGGAATCCAAGGAATTGTTAAAAGTTGCGGCCACGAAGAATCTTTGTTTTTCAAATGTACAATCGTACAACAATCGTACAATGTGGCCAAAAGATTGTGTTCAATTTATGGCCGTCGTGATATTGGTAGTGGTGGGGGCGGGGGGGATAATGGTACGCTATTCGCCCCAATAATTTTATAACCGAGCGTGAACTCGATGGTTTTACCACTTTAGTCAACTAAACAGAGGTTCATCTTCTTGGTTCTACGTGACTTTACCGAAAGAACCAAGAAGATGAATCCCTGCAGTCACGAAAGCTTTAAATCGAAATTTAAACAGGTTTAACACGTAGGCCTCTTTCGCGACCAATATCCAAAACAGGTTTTTTTGTATTACGGATAAACTAAGGGGAATGGGTACCATTAAGTCCACAGGCTGACACTTGACCAAACATTCTCTGGGTTGGTCGTCGCCGATTCGTTCAAGACTTGACTAAAATCTCTCACGACTACATGAACACCGGTGGCAAATGGTCTCTAAACAATGGGAGGCATGCGCCCTCTGTTGTCATGTTTGTTGCACTGCACAATAGTTACCGGTGAGCCAGAGAAGACAATTTGTAACCCACTGAGATAACGCGTCTTTCTCACTCTCTCGTAGTTATCAATTTATACGGCGAAAACGTGCGAGATACTTTAAAAGTTACTCATCATCTCACGTGGTTAACATAATATTGGTCCACGTAAATATATTGTAACCACTAAAGTTTATATGCCACCTGCAAGGTGGTAAAGACAGCTGAAAATTAGTGGGCTCATAGACCAAAAAGGGACCTTTGGTTTCGCAAGCTTTCTGGCTGCCGAATCAATCTCAAGCAGGCCTACTACATAGGACATTCCATCGGTCTACTTTGTATGGCTGTTGTAGAAAGTAGAGCAACTGAATGTTAAATTGAGGTGGTTAAGGAGCCAGATGACTGCGTCAGAAGTAGCCAAGTGTACGAACGCACCGTGTGTGGAAATTATTGGATGCCTCCTTTGTATTTGTGAAACGGACATTGTTAGTCGTCTCCCTGACATGAACAAAAATAAACCGCTTCAGGACACAGCCGTGATGGAGCGGAGCGGTGGTTAGCACACTTCACAATTACGTAGCAAACATGACGGATTCCTGGCCATGGCAAACATCAGTGGCTGTTATTCAACCTGGTCTTGTGCCACCGTGCCGCCACTCAACACCAACCTCAACCACATATTCACCAACTCACACATAACAGTGTGGGGACAATGTACGTACGCAAAATAGATGGGGGGGGGGGGGGGGGTGAAGCCTCGATAATAATTCATCTACATTGGCCTTCAAATGAGCCACAGTTCAGTTCCTTCAGCTGTGAGACAACAAGTCCTGCCGGGAGAAGTGGGACTGTTGGAGAGGCGTCACTTCGTGTGCCACCGTGCACCTGACTGCAGCTATCACGCAGCTCGGCAAAATAAGTGGCCAGGGTACGCAACTTAATTCTTTAATGCAGTCGGCGGTGGACTGTTTGCTTAAAACAGGTGAATATTATTAATCCGTGATCGTTTCTGCGTGGATTAAATATCGGCCGTTCTATAGCATTCGGGGTTGGGGGGGGGGGTGTAAAAAGTACGCGTGCGTACAGAGAGGGGTCAAGTTGACAGATGTTTGCGTACCTACTAAATGGATGTCCCCTATGGTCAAACAGCATCGATAACACGGCACAAGGGTTGAATATTATTAATACGATACACATTTAACAACACTACGTACTTTCAACGCTCAATGTTTAATAGCAATGCCGAGTAACCTTGTTACAACCTTGTAATCTGGCAAAAACCAATCTAGATGACCTTGTAAATGTTTGCTCAACTTATTTAAAACCAGGTCTTTTTTTAGGTGTCTGGTATCATTTGGCTCTTCCAGGTTAAGGAATAAAACCATTGTTCATATTTATCTAAATAAGCTTCATATTTCAATGAAACATTTTGGGAAATTATAACATTTGTTTTTTTATTTCTCCCACCAGTTTTCACATTTGTCCCTTTGCGACTTGGAATTGTTCCATTAGTTTAGTCTTCCCCGATGCTTGTAAAATATATATATATATCTTGACTTGTCCATTTTAATGGTCGATTAAAAGCAGTAGTTACTTTTATATTTCAGGATCAATGTTAATCCGTGTTATCAGTCTCATGTTCTTGTAGACCGGATATGTAACGGATTAGATTGTTTAAGTCAATCCTTTCGCAGGAGAAACAAGCACAATATCCCAGGCTCATAAAAAAAACCAAACTGCCTCGTAATCAGGGACAGCTATTCCCCCTAAAACTATACAAACCGTTAGGGGGGCAAGTGCTCTTATAAGCGAGCAACAATTAAACACGTGCACATAGTTTTAAATATCACACCTGGGAACGCACAATAAGTATTCCCACAAAAGTGATCTAAACTGCCCGGACCTGTTATTCTCCGAGCATTACCCCCTCTTAAACAAAGGGTTTAATCTCAGGCGGGATCAGTAGGTCTGAATAGATGCACACAACGTAAAGTAACATTTACCCTCAACCAAAGGCCATTGAGAGAGGAAAACGCCACACCTTTATTATGTGCAATGCAAATAGTCAGTGTTAAGAGACGCCCCACAATTAAGGATTTGCATACAAGCTTGCATAGGCACCACAGAACTATTAAAAGATCTTAAAGCCCGATGTGCATGTTTGTTCAAGAGGAATCTACATCTGCTCTCCGTAACAGACTTTCTGTCGACGATTCATTTTCTTAAATCATTGTACCATTGGTGTATAACCATAGCGTGTGCAGGTGGTAACAAATGCACCGCGACCTACAAGCCGAAGGCGCTGGGCTACAACAGAATTGGCTAGGGTGACGCATTTAAATCGTTTAAAACCAAGGGGAGACGCCAATATACTACACCAACTGCATTGCACATGTTTAATTCATCTCGCTTACACTGACTCTACGTACAACTGCCATTAGTCGTCACGATCGGACCGGATCATGGGTCGGCAACCAATTTTTTTTTATTCGGGAAAAAAAATGTTTTAAAATATGTTTTTCATTTTTTATGATAGAATATAGTATTGTCATCAGTATGACATAAGTATACCAAGTTTGAGTCGATACCACATTGGAAAGTGGGTAATAATTGATTTACAAGATTTGAGGATACAACAACATCAGACAGAGAGTTAAATAAAAGCGTGTAAAATAACCCCCCTTCAATATAGTGACTGCAGGGATTCATATTCTTTGGGTCTTTCACGTAGATAGGTTCAAAGACCCCATCTACGTGACTTTACCGAAAGACCCCAGGAAGAGTTGCTTATAATGTACGCGAATCTCGGACGGTCCTTGATAGATAAACAACCTTACAAAACGGTCCTTAATAGATAAACAACCTTACAAAACGGTCCTTAAAGAGCTGCATGCGGCTTCGGAGCCGCAGGTTGTATGTAGATCCCCGATGCAGATTTTCTTTTCCACAAAATAATTCCAAACTGCGATGCATGTCCATCGTTTGCACACATTTACGTTCGCGATTTTATAATAAGCGTTTAAACACCGTGTACAGATTACAAAGCATGCTTTATATATTTAAACAAGAAACACCATGGGCATCATTCCCACAATGGGAATGTGGTCTCATGTTTTCGAAAAATATATAAACACCAAGTTGTCCAGATAAATGTTTACACAGTAGTGTACAAGTAACTGTTTAATGTAAATTACAAAGACAAAAATCCTCCCCATATAGCCTCAAACAGAGAGCACGGCACACGAGAGGGTGGGTGGGTGGCCTGCACCACGCCCGGCTCTCCTTGTCTCCCCAATGGCGATGTTTACACACCGCACCAGGTACTCATTTGCGGCCGAGTAGACCTAGGGGAGAGGCCAAGGACCGGTTCAGATAATCGTCCCCGAGCGGGAATCGAACTCGGACCGCCGGGTTCGTCGCACAGCGCGCTAACCGCCACATTATCGCTCAATTACCCACACATGCGCATTTGCAGTAACACCTTTTATTTAATTTTCCCAACACGCATGAGCGTGATTGATAAAACACAAAGAGTGAACCACGCAAATTCCGCCGCGCTGTTTAAACACAAAAAAAATTGTAATCCATAAGGAGTAATCTTTCACTTGACATAAAGTCAATTTGTTTTAGTCATTAAAATACCTTTTAAAATTCCTTCCTTGATTTAGAATGTCCCTTTCCTTGCGCATAGTTAATGAACCCCACCACGCGAGTTTAGTAGATTATATTTCTGCGTTGCCTGCCAGTATTACTTAAATGTTGCGCGACTTGAATGCTATTTTCCTAAAACTGTATTTGCTACTCGGCGTCTGCAATGTTATGATTTATAAGCTCCTGCAACTTTAAATTTATTCAACCTCGGTCTTCCTCAAGTCATGCTTGTAAAAATCAGCCCAAGGCCGAATCTTACCCGTGTAACAAAATCAAATAACAATCACTCGAGATAAAAAAAATAGCAGTAGTTTTTACGTTTATATACATTTTATAGTGTAACTTTTCACTTTCTACAACTGTTGTATGCGGACCCCCCAAATTCAACATTAAACTTGTCAAATCTGATAAGCAACTTTACAGTTTGTAATGAAAAAATTACTTGAGCAAACCCAGGCCTTATAACAAGCTCGGCTAGCAAATAGAAAATCTAACGCAATGAATTACAAGCTTCAAAAACGCATTCAACTTACAAAATATTGCCTGTATATAAAAAAGTGGCTAGACAGGCGAAACAATTCATATATATTTTAAACGACGGACGGCTTTTACAAGAGGCATTTAAACCATTTAAAAGCAAACTAAATATTGTAAAAGTTCTAGGAACACCCAACCAGCAATGAACCTGCAAATAAAATAACAAATTCAAATAAAAACTCTCGATCTCTAAGCTTATACAATCATTACCAAATATATATGCATTTCTCAGAAACTCTGATCGTCCTAATCAAGTAGGAACTTCAACTTACAGGGCAACAGACGTTGCTGCAGTTTCTCGACTTGAAACACCGGGCGCTTGAGACGTGAGCGATGATGGGCAGAGAAATATTAAATCGAACAACGCCTCTTCCCCACGAAATCAAAACGGATGCTGGAGATCCTTTTTGCGGGTAGCTAGTCAGTGAGATATCAACAGCAAGCCTGTGCCCGCTGTTGCTTTTGTAGCCATCTCACCCCCACCCTCACCCAGAACAAGTCACCGCACCCTGCCTTGTACGTCAGATGGGGGGGGGGGGGGTGTTAGACAATGTGCATCGCCAACAACTATCACATGCGCCATCGGTGGCTAATTGTAAGACCAACCTGTTTGCCTGCATTCCACAAATATAAACCCTAATTTCATTCGGAGCGCCCATGGCAAAGAGGATGGAACGCCATACGTAGTTTGTGGCGATATGTTTGGACAGCGTGTTGTAAGACATGAGTTCGTCAAAGGACAAAGGTGCTCCCGTATAGCCTTAACATACCTGTGGGGGCAAGTTGGTGTAAGAGAACACTGATGAAGACCGGGACTGCACACGAGGTGGGTGGGTGACCAGCATCAACGCCCGGCCGCTTTTGTCTCTCGTGGCGATGTTTACACATCCCGCCTGGTACTCATTTGAGGCTGAGTCAACATGAGTTCGTGCACGTGCTCACAGCGTCAAACATGTGGAGAAGCCCCTTTGCATTGACGCCGTTGTGATGGTTGACTGTGTCAGTCCTGTATAGTTAGATTGCCGTCCAAGTATAACAAACATCAGTGGCGAGTGATACCTGAACCGGTTCTGGGCCTACCCATCCATTCCCTCCGCATCAACGCCACATCCCCAACCTACCAGCGTGGTGAAGTATGGTCAGACAACCCAGCACGACTGACACGGCGTCTGGTGGTGAAGTCTTCGTCCAGCGGCGGATTGAGCGCAGGTCTGTGAATTCTAAAGTGGCAATTAATTTATGGCCAAATAATTTGTCTACTTTCAAACTGCCCAGCAATCATGCACCGTTCTATGTGGTTGAAACCTATGGACCAATGTTGAGCCAACGTTGCATGTGTTTATTGGATACTGTTGTTTGATTTATTTAGACGAGTTATGTTGTGCTGCTGCCGCTGTTGCTGCGTTGATGCACAAGCACAAATAGCAACCCTAAACACACTCGTAAAAAAACACAGTAACATAAAAATGTATATGATAAATGTCTCGGGCAATGGTCCTAGTAGTAGCATGTGCCGCTATTTTGTTTGCATCTATGTAATACATAAAAACTCACTTCATGTCAGACACTCACTGGGGAAAAAAAGGTGGCGTCCGGATGCGAATGCACTGAACGTAATCGGGTTGTGGGTGAGCCGTTTCGTCTCGTCTTGTGAGCGTTTTTTTTGGTCGTTCCCGTTTGAAACCTTCCCTGGGAAATCCCGGTGATCTACCCCACACAAAAGAAATTCCTGAGAAAGAAGAGATGGTCAAATACCCCGAGCATGGACGCGCGCGTTTACAACCGCGAAACGCCCCGAGGTGGGAGTGCTCTGTTTGGTTTGGATGCTCGATTTGGAGCAAAGTGATGCCTCGGAATTTTCTCTCGATGTGGTGGCAAACACATGCCGGTTCATCACGGAATAAATAATCGTAAAGCAGGTATACAAATACAGAAATGCATGGTCCACAAGTATGTAATGTACATATTTACAGAGTATTAAAAAAAGAATGTTGACACATAAAGGTTGTGTTTTGTGTGTGTATTTATATACGGCACTGTAATAAGGTACACGTGACAGTGATTCATCATGTCAATCTTAACAGTGACTGTAGAAGATGGACTTAAGCGTGGACTAATTCAAGCCTGGAGCAGTGGCACAGTGGTTAGCGCACTGCTATAAAACTAGCGACCTAAACTATCATCGGTGACGAGTCTTATATTCACCAACCAGCACTGATCAGTGGTGAAATATGGTTAAACAACCCTAGATTTGAAGCTTTCGTGACTGCAAGGATTCATACTCTTAGTTTTTTCGGTAAAGTCACGTAGGTAAAATATGAAATTAAAATTAATAAAATTAATGTATTATTTTATTTTTATTGATTTTAATTTCATTTTTTACCTACGTGACTTTACCGAAAAAATTAAGAGTATGTTAAACAACCCCTTTGACCGACACGGTTCAAGGTGCCCTTCACCCAGCAGTAGCTTGACAAAGGGGCCGCGTGGCAATTGATTTAAATGCTGTATACATTATCGGCAAATACTGTTTTGTGGAAGGTGTCACCCGCCGCTTTACCAATTCATAGACGTTTCACTCGTTTTATGCGGCAGATGCGTTACGAAAAACAAGGGCTCACGAAGCGAAATCGCAGGGGGATACGGCTGCCTGCAGAGGAGAGCATACGATACACTAACAATGTTGTCCGGCATCCCATCGCATAGCCGAGTGAATTGGAACCGCATATAACAGATAATTTTGGGTCGAAATATATTTCGATTTAAAGCTTTCGTGACTGCAGGGATTCATCTTCTTGGTTCTTTCGGTAAAGTCACGTAGAAGGGAAGTAATAAAATAATAAAAATAAAATAAAACATAATAAAATAATTCTCTAGTGAGAATTATTTTATTATGTTTTATTTTTATTATTTTATTACTTCCCTTCTACGTGACTTTACCGAAAGAACCAAGAAGAGAAATATATTTGCCGCATTTACGACAAATCGCACAGACCGAACCCGCATAAAGCGAGGCGAACCTTGGATTCGTACCAAGTTGCTCTGGGTCGCACGCACGAAGAACACCATATCTGCCACAGCATTTATAAATAGATTATAATCTGTCCTTTTTTTATTTAACCAGCTGCGTCTCTTGAGATGTGCTACCAGACAAAAGAATAATAGACACGAAAATAAATCTGGACAGGTTCTTGAATTGTTAAACCCCCTCCCCCCACCCATGGTAACCACCAACAAAACAAATAAAAGCTAGACTTTATTGGAAGGGGAGGGGGGGCTGTTGGAGTGCATCACCGCGTGGCCTCTGCCAGTGAAATGGAGTACACAGGAGAAGACACAAAAGGTTCGCCACCGGTAGTGGTGGGGTGGAGATGGGTTTGGCTGGGGTAGGGGCGGCGGTGCTGGGGAGAGGGGTGGTGGTATTCCTGGGTGTGGTTCGTAAACGCGAAGCCCCGTACGCATGGACGACGTGTTTTTCAACTCATCCCCGGGGGGCTTTTGCGCACGCATTCTTTACCGACCGATCTGCCTACCGACTACCCGTCACTGTGAAGAAACGCGTTTTTCTTCTTTTAGATGGGTAAGAGATTGCGAAGTTTATCATCACAAAAAATGGGTCTGAACTTTGTGACGCTCTCGGATGGGGATGGGCAACGTTTGCCTTGTCTTACAACATATCCCCCACCCACCCTTCATCCGTCACAGCGCAAGGTTGTCATTTCTTGTCCAAAGCCATCCAGGTGTGACGTTTGTGTGCTATTTGTTGTTGCAGTGTATCAGTGACATGCGTATATATATATACAAACATTCCTGTTACGCGGCTACGGAACCGTGTAACAGGAACACTCTCCTGCTGAGATAAAGAAGATCGCAATTCTAACGGACAATCTAAAAAAAATAAACTAAACTAGTTTTTGTAAATGTTACCAGGTAAGGCCGACTGAATTGTATATCTCTTTTTTTCAGAAGCGACCTGACCACAAAAGATAGCTCAACGAAGTGGCTTATCACGTGAAAGTTTATAGCAGCCAAATACTCTAAAGCATGCTTATAAATGTGGAGGGAAAACTCGAAGGACCCGGAGAAAATCCACACAACCACGGGGAGAACATGCAAACTCCAAATATACAGCAGTGGGCGCGAGGGTCTGGATCGAACTCATCATGATGATGATGATTGTCCGTTCGTGTTCATGTATTGAACAAGCTCCCAGCACACAGGGTGAAACGTTGGACGTCACACCGGCAAATCTGCGGCACAACCCAATAATGCATCGGAGAGATTTTCAGCCATTGTCTATCCCCTGTTGGATGAAGGTTGTTGTATGCAATACACATTTATCACGGTTCTGCAATACTACGATCCATCTTACTCCCTTTGTGATAAGTAATTCGTCAAGAACCCCATTCCCACCGAACCACCCTCGTGCCTGCTTAAAACCCCATCAATAAAAATGAATGATGGTCAGGGGAAGTCCTTATAGTGGGCACGGTCACTCCCAGGGCTGAATTAAACTGTTGTAGGCGTTCTATCCACTGCTCGCTGATACTCTCTCTCTCATGAATGAAGTCGCCTTTTTCTAATGAGCCTGCGACTGCTGCCATTCATCTCATGCTGCATAGAAACTGAATTTAAGTCATTGCCGCATCTCCACGGCGCATAAATCCACTCGGGGTCGTTCATTCATTCTGCTGCAATTTCATCACCATATTCTTAGGTTTTTTCGGTAAAGTCACGTAGGTAAAAAATAAAAATGTATAAAAGTAAAATAAAAATAAAATACTTTTACTTTTATTAATTTAAAAATAATAACAGTAAAATGAAAATAAAATACATTTTGTAATTTTTTTATTAAATTTTTTTACCTACGTGACTTTACCGAAAAAACCTAAGAATATGAATCCTTGCAGTCACGAAAGCTTCAAATCTAGAATTTCATCACCAGCCTCATCCTTGGGGCCTCCATCTCCCATGGAAATGTGTTCCTGCCAAAGACCAAGGTATACCTCCGAGTGCTTCAAACAACCCACACGCGCGTGCATTTCATGCAGGATGAAAGCACCATTTAGCAGTTCCCGAAGAGGTGCAAGCACATTGATAGGAACTGACGAATTTTTTTTGCATAGTGCCCAAAGGCCGAGTGCCTTTTGTACACGTTTCTGTGGGTTGTTTAAAACTTGTACACGTTTCTGTGGGTTGTTTAAAACTTGTAGTTTTTCAGTGTGCACCATTTTTCTGTTATGATATGTTTTTTTAAATCGTCATTTACAGATTCGATTTCTGTTCTCAATAGTCAAGATGACATCTCCTCTTTCTTATCTCTCAAACCTAATGATGCAAATCTCCTTATTAGCTTTTTATTTGTTTGACTACTTTGTTAATATCCATGTTTCCGATCCGTATTGTCAGAGTGGGCAATACTCACTGATTGAAAACTCTCT